TATGCCCCTGACGATTTGATGCGCACACGTGAACCGCGGTATTACGATATAGCCTACGTAATTTTCCTATACGTATTGGCACGAATACAAGACGGTTTTTTCCCCCAAAAAAATACATCTAAAGAACTGGGGGTGTCTTATTTTCGATGGCTATAATTTATATGTAATTATACAACAGCAGATGGTATAAATTGTCCAACTCCAGGCTAATGATACTTCAAACATAACCAGCGTTATTTCAGCAATATGACGTATGAGCGGTGATCCCACCGACAACTGGCTGACATCATGTGACAACGTGGGGATGGTCAGTAGCCGGCAGGATTTTCCCGTATTGCGCTTATCTTTAAATCGAGAGTGGCTCTTAAAGACAGTATTTCATTTTAAAATGACTCGACCACTCGCCACAATACGTTTTTTGCCCACTTTTTGAGGGTCTGCTGCATCAAAAACATTCTGTACTCTCTTGGGTGTTTGTAATATTTATTATCTATCAGTCTACACTTACTGTGCTGCCATCGCCTGTGTTTGCTTTTTAACAGTGATATTGTCACGCCCTGCATGCCTTTTTCCCCCTGTGTTCTTCATGGTGTGGCGCAAACCAGCCACAACGTTACTGTTCCTCGTTTAACCCTGCCTCTCGTTTCAGCCCTCGTGTGGTCTATATAGCCCTTCTGTGGTGTATATATAGTGCCTCGTCGTCCTGTGCGCCTCAGTCTGGTCATTGTATTGTTGCATGTGATCCTGCTCCCTTTGGTTACCCACCGCCCTGTGTTGCCCCCCATTCTCCCTGCCTTGTTTTGACCTCTCGCGGTCTGGTTTCTTTGCCCTTTTGTATTGTGTTTTGTTCAATAAAACCCCGTCCATTTTCCCCAACACCTGCCTTCGCCTCCATCCTTCCTAGACCGTTACAGATATTCTTAACTCTGTATATGTTTTGTCAAATAAAATTCTTTTTCTTTATTTTGGTATTCCAAAAGTTAATATTGCCTGTATAAGCACTGTACAAAGTAGGTACACTGTTCATTTAAAATAGTACAGACACAACACCTACAGGTTATCAAAGTTAAGAAGCACTTATAATTTTAATGCTTTTCTCTCCTTGATTTCATACAGCTGCGTTGGGCTAGCTCCTCATCCTGGGCTGTTCCTCGCCTCGCGCCCATAGCTTCCGGGATAGGCTCCGGACCCACCACGACCCAGAAGGATAAGTGGTTTGGATAATGGATGGATTTCATACAGTAGAGAAATAAACTAGGCTTATTTAGACATTCTGCAATTTTTCTGAGTTACATGGAAAAATAAAGGGTGCATTGTTTAATGTTTTCTTCTAAGATATAAATATGCTGAAACCGTACCATTACCCTGGCCAAAAAAACTGTGACACATACTGAACCATGGAAAAACTGTACTGTTACACTCCTAATAAGGACTTGGAAATAATGCCATGATGAATGTAACAGAGTCGGCGCCTGCTCAACCCTGCTCAACCCTGCTCTTCATGTCTCCTCCCTGTTTTGCCAGCAGGTGGTGCTGGCCGTTGTGTTTGCCTTCCTGTCTCTTGTCCTCCAGCCCCAGTGTGCTCTTCCCAATCCTCAGACTGCTGTGTAGCTCAATGGGCTGTGTGGCTCACAATCGAAAACATGCCACATCTGTTTATTTGTATTTATTTATTTTTTGTTCCCGTGTTTATTTTCTGTCTTATTTATCTTGTCTTGGTTTGCCCTGCTTGTGTTCTATTCTGTTCTGTTTTAATTATCCCCTGTGTTGTATTTCTTATGTGTGGTTTGTTGCCTAGTTTTAGTGTCTGTTGTTTCCTAGTTTTTGTGTTGTGTTTCTGGTTCCACCTGAAGTTCACTGTCCTGTGCTTTGTATGATTGGTTTTTTGATTATTATTCTCACCTGTTCTGCATTTTCTTGTTAGCATTGTGTGTATTTAATTTCTGCTCCTGCTTTGTTCTTGAGCCAGTTACTGTGTGTTAGTGATGCTGTTCTGCTGCCTAGTTCTATTCTCTGTGTTTTGCTTAGTTCCTTAGTTGTACTTTGTTTCATGGTTTTAGTTAATTTATTTTTCCCTGTTAGTTTTCTGACCCCTTCAGGTCCCTTTGCTATTTTTGTAATTTTACCCAGTGTGTTCAACCCCTTTGCGTCTCGGATTCAAGTGGAAGCAATTGGTAACAACTTCAACTCAACCACGAAGTGGTAGGCCACGTAAAATCACAGAGTGGGGACAATGCATGCTGAGGTGCACAGTGTGCAGAAGTCGCCAACTGTCTGCAGAGTCAATAGCCTTCAGACCTCCAAACTTCGTGTGGCCTTTAGATTAGCTCACGAACAGTACGTAGAGAAGTTCATGGAATGGGTTTCCCTGGCCGAGCAGCTGCATCCAAGCCTTACATCACCAAGTGCAAAGCAAAGCGTCAGATGCAGTGGTGTAAAGCACGCCGGCACTGGACTCTAGAGCAGTGAAGTCTTGTTTTCTGTAGTGATGAATCATGCTTCTCTGTCTGGCAATCTGATGGACGTGTCTGGGTTTGGCGGTTGCCAGGGGAACACTACTTGGCTAACTGCATTGTGCCAAGTGTAAAGTTTGGTGGAGGGGGGATTATGGTGTGGGGTTGTTTTTCAGGGGTTGGGCTTGACCCCTTAGTTCCAGTAATAGGAACTCTTAATGATGCAGCATTCAAAGCCATTTTGGACAATTTCATGCTCCTACTGTAACTTTGTGGTAACAGTTTGGGGATGGCCCCTTCCTGTTCCAACATGACTGCGCACCAGTGCACAAAGCAAAGTCCATAAGGACATGGATGAGTGAGCCTGGTGTGGAGGAACTTGGCTGGCCATTACAGAGCCCTGACCTCAACCCAACAGAACACCTATGGGATGAATTAGAGCAGAGATTGTGAGCTAGGCCTTCTCGTCCAACATCAATGCCTGACCTCACAAATGCTCTCCTGGAAGAATGGGCAAAAATTCCCATAAACACACTTTTAAACCTTGTGGACAGCATTCCCAGAAGATATTCCCTGTCAACATTAGACCAGATACAAGAACTTGTGGACATAGAACATTTTTTACTGAATTTGAGAAAGCAATTCTTTACACAGCGTGTAATTAGAGTATGAAATAGTCTTCCTGTTAGTGTAGTGAAAGCTAAAACCTTTGAGTTCCTTTAAATCAGAGCTAGAAAAAATTTCAACTCTGAGCTATTAGTTGAGTTCTCCCCAAATGAGCTTGATGGGCCGAATGGCCTCCTCTCATTTGTAAATTTCTTATGTTCTTATTGTATGAATTTTCTTCCTAGATAATTTTGTTAATAACCAAGAGTTCTGGGGTTAAACTCACAGGAGGCACACATAAATTGAACTTCCTCACCCCACTTGGATAAGAAAGTTGTCATTTAAATATAAATGGGTTACATGTATGCATTCTGTTCACCAATATAGCCCATTTCTGTCCCTTAAATCAGATTTTTTTAGGGGAAAAAAAGTGTTATACATACATAGATGCACTTTAATAATACTGGTGTGATTTGTACTTTTTTCTTATTGCCAACATTTCAGACAAAATTGAAGAGTATCTCCTCCTTTGCTACTATTCAGCTTATATATTAATCTACCAAATTCAGTGTTTATAATTATTTTAGGAGATAATACTTTTAAATAAAGTCAGACATGTCACATTGACAGTGGTCCGACCGCATGTTGATCTGTATTCATGTAACTGCGTGGTGTAGGACATACCTGTGGAATCAGGTGAACCGTTTGCATGTTCACCTAAACCAGAGGTCACCAACGTTTTTGAAACGGAGAGCGACTTTATGGGTACTGAGCCATACGAAGAGCTACCAGTTTGATACACTCTTCTTAAATCATGTATAATAAACATGTTTTAAATGCTTTTTTTTAAAAGATATTGTCATTTTCAAATCTATATAAATGCAAATGTGAGTAAAGAAGAATAGCAACAGGATAAATTTTAATTTTAGACGCTGCTCACTGGTGAGTTGTGCTATTTTTAGAACAGGTCCACAGGTGACTCCTGTGGTCCTTGGGGGCACCATGTTGGTGACCCCTGATATAAACCATATTTACCTCTTGCCTCAGCCACACCCCCTGCATCCTCACCAGACACGTCGACATCTGTATGACCCTCAATGATTTGGTAGATTTTCTCTGCTTCACTCAGCAATTGGTTTTCTACAAAATGTCTAATCAGAATACAAAAATCTCTGGAGAAGACCCCAATGTCCATTATGGATGGATGGATGACAATAAGTAAACTGAAAACAGGTTGCTACAGTACTTGAGGCCTTACTGAATGAGAAAAACAGGAATACCATTCCAAAAATACTACGTATGTATATATATGTATAACTACTTACAAATGAGATACGTTCTGAACAGCCGTTCGGAACTTGAAATGTTCTTAAGTCGTCATTCAACATCATTTAAGGGTATACGCAAGGACAAAGAACTAGGATGCTGGGAGTTCACACGCAACGCCGCGTCTGTATAAAATATATATATATATAAAATAAACAGAAAAGCTTACGTTTGCAACAAACTACAGTGCAACAAACATCTGTCCACTGAGGACTAATCTTAATGAAACAGAGGAGTGTACAGTATTCCTTCACTCTACTGCACCCCATGCAGAAAAATGAGGAATAGTATGGTTTTTACTTTTAAGATTGCAGTAAAGGATTTTTCAAATCAACCTGCCCTTATTCTAAAAAGATATTTATCTGTACCATTTTCCTTATCTCATGTGGACTATGTGAAAGGAGGCAGTGGATCTTAAGTTTTACACCAATGATTTAGCAGCAGTGAGGTTTCATGACACTGCCATAGAGAAGTACCTTGTTCATTACCCCATTTACAATTAATCACATACTAAGGGAAAAAATGGGAATTTGATACAAGGCAATGGTGAACAGCATGAAGTTGTTATACCTTCAATAATTCATGAAGTCACAATGGATGGATAAGCAACACAGATTAAGCAATTGTAATTATATATTTTTACTGTTGTACCTCAAAATAAATAAATTTGACAAAAAATTAATATGCAACATTAGCAGACGCATGTTATAGTAACATTCATATTTATCCAGTGTAGCACACATTTTAAGGCACAGCTTCCAATGAAGCACCTGTTACTTCACAGAATAAACATTTTTAAAAAATCAGTAGCCTGTAGGACGGGGGTGGCCAATCTTATCCGCAAAGGACCAGTGTGTATGCGGGTTTTCACTGCAACTCCATAATTAGATTACTAATTAGACGACTGATTAGCTGAGGAGTCCTCACCTGGGTTTCGACAGTTGACCTAAAGGTTATCCCAAAAACCCGCACACACACCGGCCCTTTGCGGATAAGATCGCCCAGGAGGTGCTTTGCTTAGTCACCGAGTATTATTAAAATTCCATAGAACAAAAGGGAAATTGAACTATTAAAAGTTTTTTTTTTTTGTCTCCCACAATTGAAACACACTGTTCCAATCTAGATTAATAAAAATAATGGATAAAACCTTGGGCTATGGAAAAAGCAGATTAATTTGCATGGAGACTTGAGGTAGTGGCCGCCTTTGTCGTGAAAATAGCTATGTTAGTGCACTGTGGACCTGTGAGCTGGGAGCCCGGCGACCACATCTGGCATGTGAGGTCGGTGAGGGACAGAAAACCTTCAGAAAACGTGCTCTGAACCTCAAACAAGGACCGACTACTCTAGTTTCTTTTGCAACTTCTTCTGGAAGCACACAGGCAAGATGGCGAGCAGGGCCAGTGCGGCCAGCAGCAGCAGAGAGTTCCAGGAGACAGCCTCCCCTGCAGTCGTCAGCTTGTACAGCGTGGTCCCGGCATTGATGGCCACAAAGGATGGAGGAGCCACTCCTGCAAGAATGGAAATGGGGTTTCAGATCCCAGTGACAGATTAATGCGGCAAAGAACCAACACAGCGCTAGACAGGACAACTGGTACCACGGCTAAACTGCACATCAGCTTCCAGTTATACTGTACAAACATATACACAATATATACAACACAGGGAGAACATGCGAACTCCACACACAGTGCAAGAGCAGGACCAAAGTCCCCAATACAGGAGATGGTATAATCAGGCCATTATGTGAGCAAGCGTGAACTTAATCTTGTTAGTTGATATTTACATATTTCACATATTACGTGTCACTTATTACATACATATTGGGGGCTCATTATGTAAATTAATTTGACATCAATGAGCATTAATTTGTCTTAATCCTTACCTAAGAATGTGCCAAGGAAAAAGAGCCCTAAAGGCACATTAATGACGGGGGATGTGATATTGATAAACCAGTTGGGAAGGAAGGGAGTGATCCTCAGGAATATGATGTAATTAATAAGATGCTCTCTGTGGTTGTCTACCTGCAAAAATGAGCCAATGAGAGAGGGAACATCTCAATGAAAAGATTCATAATGTATCTTGTCATAGGGATTGGCAGTTAATCAAATTACAATTATGATTTTGGCTTGCAATGATTATTAAAACAAAATTGAAGAAAAAAAAAGATTGTGCCGCGTTTCATTTCCATTTCATAAATCCAGCGCGCCCCTTTCCATCCACTTTTTGTTTGCCCTAGTCTGTCATCGTGCTGCTCTCTGGGGAGTACTCTTTAAAACAGGGATGTCAAACTCATTTCAGTTATTAAATTGAGCTTGACACCAGTGCTTCAAAGGACGCTTCAAACAGCAGTCTGCTTTTTACTGCCTCTGATGCCCAAATATTGTTTTAGCTCCTCAGAGCTTGGCCAGGATCTCATACTCACTCGTCAATAGACACCCCCAACATATGAAACTACAAGGTATCGTCAGCGTCTCCCAGGTCCATCCTAATTGACCAATACTCACCTGCTTAGACCACTTCTCTGCCTTCTCCGTCAGGTATTTATAGACCACCGGCCTGCCCACCAAGTAGGAGAGCATATAGCAGAAAGAGGCTCCAAGCCCAGAGCACTACAAGCACAGGAGACTTGATCAGAAAAGGCATGAAGTTTATAAAATGATATGAAGTTCCGATTTAAATCCAAAATGGCATAGTATCATACTTACCAAGCAAACCAGGAACAATGCTAGTGGGAAGGGGTAAAGATAGCCTGACAGGATGCTGAGAAAGATGGAGCCAGGGATGGCAAAGGTCTGGAGGCTATGGCAACAGAATTAAGGCCGATACCAGCAGGGTAAAAACAAATAAGGTTTTCATAGACGGACAGAAAAGGCCATGTATATATAATCAAAAACGTCATATACAGCATTGCATACAAGTGAAATTGCATGGATGACTTTTGGAAATGACTTGTGCCAAACTGATATATGGTCTCGCATTTAGTGACAATCAAAGTCTGTATGATGCAGACCAATATGTTTTTCATTGCATTTTGTATATATAAAATACCTTATCTTCAAGACAATTCCCACAAAACCTCTGCATCCTAATTTGAATACCACTTGGGTGATTTCATTGTACAGTGGAGAGAGACTGAAGCCAGTCAAGTAGGATTACTGCTCTCCCTCACAGATGAGAATAAAACAGCCCCCTCAGCTGAATCCTGCTGTTCTCAAGGGCACAAAAGACCCCACCCACCCCAGACCCAGCTTAACCGAGCAGGTGAAGGTGGCTATCTGCTATTGGGTCCTCAGCCAAAGTATCTCTTTTATGCATATGTTAAAAAACACATCTTCTGTAACTAGCAATTAGAAACAAATTACTTGGAAATACTTCATTCAACTAACATTTCACACATGGGAGACAGTCTAACTTTTGCTTTAGGGAGCATCAATAGCTCTGACTGTACAATCAAGTCTCACAGTTAATCTAGGCAAAAAAAAACCATAAATCAAAGCCAGTGCACACTTTTGTATGCTTTCATATTACAAAGGATACAAGAGATATGTGGCGAAATAGGCTACCAATACTTGAGTGTAGTAAGTGTCCTTGTACTTGGACAGAACTGTGCCCAAGGCCTTGGCATCGTTCATGTCTTTGGGAATTTTCATTTTTTCCCACTCTTCACTGTATGGGAGAAAGAAGCTCACAGGTCAGTGTGAGGAACTCCTCTGGAAGGAATAAAAATTGCATATTCTACCTAAGACATGGCTGTAAAACACACGTATAGATTTAAAAGCAGTACAGACCTAAGAAACACATAAGGGATACATGCATCATTGTAGAGGTGCCAGTCAGGAAGATACAGAAGAAGAAATCTAACCTGGAGCTAAGGCAACTACATTTCTCATACCTTGCAAATTTTACATGTCATACTGCTCCTCTTAAGAGAGAAGAAAGAAAACTTAACTAAAGCTTAAGCAAACTTCAATCAGATTTGATTGTCATCAAACTGAACACAGCAGGGCAAGCTAAATTCACACATGGCTGACAGGTCAACATAAGGGTGGAATATTGTGGTACTTACTTGCTCATGTGCGGGAAATTTCTATACACCAGGTACATGATACAGGCAGCACAGGAGAATATGGAGACCAGAAGGAGAAGTGACATGCGAGCAGAGCCCCTGCCAGAATTAGACAGGCCTTGGAAGGCAGAGGGAGGGGAGAAATTAAATCATTCTAAACACTCAAAGCTCAATGGCAGAACCACATAAATATCAATGTAAAACTTAGACTTATGCTTCTGAACCTGGTTGAAGTTTGTGTCGATCTTTTCACAAATATGGTAAAATAAAGAAATTAAATTTGTACCTAAATGGTATACCTCAACATTTTTTCTTTACATTGCCAACATTACTCAATATTTACTTGCTGCTAAATTGTCGTTGCCCAAGATTACCAACATTTTTTTAAAGTTTTATCGTATTTATCGGTTTAAAAATGATTTCTAGGAATTTTACAGAATCACATCGTTTACTTCGAAACTCGTTTGACATACTGCCAAGAGATAAGATCATTTAGGTCGGTCAAAAGAAACTATACAGGGAAATAAATCAGAGCTAACTTTTTACACGCAGCCGAACAGCCAAAAATAAGGACACAGTCACGACGTAGGAGAAGCAATAATAATAATAATAATAATCATAATAATAATAACATTTATAATTATTGTTGTTGTTGTTGCTATTATTACTAAAAAAGAGGAAGAAATCTTGCGAAGAACCAGTCAAGCAGGGAACCCCACACTCCGCTAGTCGGCAATACAAGTTCATACAATTTGTGACTGTGACAAGGAAAAATAATGCTTCAAATTAGACACCTGAAACACATACAAATTAGCAAACGATTACCTGGATGTTTAGATAAAGAGTGACAGTCATAAAACCATATCAATATAACTTGCCATTTTGTTTACCGATGAGTTTAATGACGTAAGATATCCAAGAATAATCCATGTCATACACATGGCGTCTGTTGGCCGATTACAACTTTAAAAAGAGCACCTGGTACCTTTTGGGATATATCCCTCCTTCGTATTGGTTTCCTCTTCTTTTAAAGTGTCTGTCGCAATGCTCTCTATACCCTGTATTTCTGTTTGCTTTTTCGCCATTTTTACTTAACTTGAAAGACGTTTTTTATTTACTGAGCAAATATAATACCCAGCATTACCGGATAGCTAAAAGAAAACCGGGTAACTCCGGCTGCTTGCTGGCCGCTAAGGACTCACTGGTCTTTCACGTTATAAACGTTGGCTGTTGAGCAAAGAGACAAAAGCAGCTCGGGATTGTTATTAAAAAACGGTGAGCCATTTTTCACTAGTGCCCCCATACGGGCGCCAGTCGAAAGTGCAGTGATGAAGATGAACGAGCCATACACAAGTATACAGTGGTACGAGACATCATTTCCCTAGGGCAGCGGTGGCCAATCAAATCAACAAAGGGTCTATAGAGGTTTTTGGGGTAACCTTTAGGTCAGCTGTTCAAACCCAGGTGTAAGGACTCCTCAGCCAATCAGTCCTCTAATCTAATTAGTAATATAGTTAGGGAGCTGCAGCGAAAACCCGCATACACACCAGCCCTTTGCGGATAAGATTGGCCACCCCTGCCCTAGGACCACAGTGCAATACAAGACACATGGGGGGTGGGTTGTGTTGGAGTACGCCGTCTCCACTGGGTCTGTGGATGAGAAGAGATTCACAGCTGACACAGGGAGAAGTTGCAAATCACCAGTTTATTCTCTTGACTGATTATAATCAGGGAGCGACCATCTGACATACATTCAGCATGTACAGGAGGAAGCTCAATCATATGTATCAGCTGTATCCCTTTTAAAGCCCTTTGGGCATCCCCCCCCTCTCTCGGTACCTTCCGTCTACGTGACAACCACATGTTTGACATTTGCTCTAGTTAGTTGGTTAGTACTTGTCCTTGTGGAAGGCTACAGATACGTAAGGGCTGCTTACGTTTTCTGTCGCTCCCTCTATCGGTCCCGATTAGGTAACCTTGCCCTGCCGGTGCCAGTCAGTTCTCGTTTCAGTTAACTTCATTTTTTAGAATGAACCCCCCCCCCCTTTTCATCATGCCCTGCTTTAAGCTATATTCTCCTTTTCCTCTATTCATTATATGTTCTTTATAATTCTATTGAATCCCACATTTATATGTATACACAATTTCAGCAGTAAAGTGCAGATTAAGTACACGAGTGGATGGGAGGGGTTTTTCACAATGCTGAGGACCTTGCAGATGCATTGATTGTGAATGATGTCCTGGATGAAGGGAAGAGAGGTCCCAATGATTTTCTCTGCTGTATTCACTATCCTAAACCAGGAAGTGATACAGTTGGTCAGGACACTCTGAATGGTTCCCCTGTAGAATGTGGTGAGGGGATGGGAAGCAAGCCTTAAGAAATGCAGTCGCTGCAGTGCTTTCTTGGCCAGAGAGGTAGTGTTGAGGTTGTTGAGAATACTGAATACTAAATACAATACAAACTAACAGATCTTCAGACTGTTGTAATGTTTTCCTTCTACATAAAAAATTAACTTGCTGTTTTATATTTGTAGATGTAGATGTTTAATGTTGCTCTTTTACTAATTTACTAATTAGAGGACTGATTGGCTGAAGAGTCCTCACACCTGGGTTATCCCAAAAACCTGCGCCGACATCGGCTCTTTGCGGATAAGATTGCCCACCCCCTACCATAGATGCAACACAGAAGTACGGACATACCACTACAACTCCCCGATAGGTCCTACGTGGCATTTCCTACACAATGATTCAGCAGGTCAACATAACCAGGCAATTTGTAGTGTCCGTGAGTTTTCTGGATGTAATCAGAACTTAAACTTTGTCGACATTTATATTCGGTGAAATTTTCTATTTCTCCCCCTTTCTTCAAACGTAAGACATTTTTTTAATCATAAAAGCGTAGAGATAGGCGTATTCATTATTACTTGCATATAAAGGGCGTTTCTTTAATTCTGGAAGAAGACGGGCTGAGGGGCTTGTTTTACACATCAAGCACAAGGCATTTTAATATCTTTTGATTCGTTTTTCCTCTTTTAAGAGTTGCGCGTTCATTCTGTGAAGTTCATGGCAGCACATTATATTTTCCACCCACATTTTTCACCTCAAGCTTTTATACATTGATGTATAAAACAGTATAACGATTATTGTGTATATTATACACAATATAATGTTTTTTAACGGCAAAACATTTCGAGAACAGACGCGAATAATTGTAATGGAGCCATTATAGTCGACGCTTGCAACGTAGGCATCATGGCCACGCGGAGCTCCATACACAACTGCATGCTGCTGCAGGTATGATTTCCATCATCTTGTGTCTGAAAACTTGGCAGCTAAGGCATGCACACGAACTCGTTGATCCTTTCTCAGCTGTGAGGAATGCTGTTGGTTTGTATTGGTATGATGTCTGATTTATTTTCGTTGTTAATGACGTCAGTGTATAACTGTGTAGGGAAACGAACGGTGTAAATATACTATACTTGCTGCGTGTATTTTAAACTTTTTTTAAGAGGCATTTAAGGATTCACCAAATTCGCGGTTCAGTTCGATTCATGATTCGATCTTTCCGCGATATTTTTGAGAAAAAACTTAATTACCAAAAATGTAACACTTTACCATTCCTTATCAACTTAAATATATCTTTTAAAGTAATTTTCTTAATTGCAATATCTATAAACATTTGTAAAGGTTGGAGTAAAATGTAGTATCCTGTTAACGCAAATATTCCATTTATTGAAAATGAATAAAGTTTCTTTAATCATTTCGCCATTCCGTAGTGTATTACTTCAGAAGGTTGCATTAGTTGGTTGCTGGTAGGGGGGCAGGCTAAGTTATTGCCTTTTGCTGATCCCAAATTTAGCTGCCCCACTCATTTTCAACCTTCCCAAGTTCTGCCACATCACACCTTTTTTACGCACTGGCTTCCTGTAGCTTCCTGATGCTCGCCTACAAAGATAGGACCAGCACCCTCCTACCTAAAAGAACTGATCTCACCCTGCACTGCACCACTCACTCTCCAGTCCACCAGCACTGCTCAAGGTGCAAGGAAGACATGTACCTAGACTCTTCGGTTTTGACACCTAAGTGGTGAAATGAACTGGGGTGGCGGTCACAATCTTTAAGAAGGGCGACTAGAGCAGGTGTTCCACTTCAGGGGGATCTCACACTTCTGTCTCCCTGGGAAGGTATATGCCAGAGTTCTGGAAAGTTGGGCCCACCCTTTAGTTGAACCTTGGATCCAGATTCTGTCCTGGTGGCAGAAGAGTGGAGAAGCTCTTCACCCAAACAAGGATACTGAAAAGTTCATTGGAGTTGCCCAACCAGTCTACATATGTTTTGTGGGTGGCATCCAACTGTGTCCCTCGGGGAGGGGGTCCTCTGGTGGGAGCTTCAGGAGTATGGGGTACAAGGTCTGTTGCTGTGGGTCATCAGGTCCCTGTATAAATGGAGCGAGAGTTTGGTTCACATTGCTGGCAGTAACTCTGACTCGTTCCCAGTGGGTGATGGACTCCGCCAGGGCCGCCAGTCATTGATTCTGTTAATTTTATGGACAGAGTTTCTAGAAATAGTTAAGGGGCAGAGGGGGTCTGGTTTAGTGGCCTCAGGTTCATGTCTTTGCTTATTGCAGATGTTGTGGTGCTGTTGGTATCATTGGGCTGTGACCTGTGCCGTGTGCTGGAGTGGTTTGCAGCTGTTTGAGGTGGCCAGCCTGAGGATCTGCACCTCCCAGTCTGAGGCCATAGCTCTCAACTGGAAAAGGGTGTGTTGCCGTCTCCTGATGGGGATGAGTTACTGTTTCAAGCAGAGGAGTTTAAGTATCTTGGGATCTTGTTCATGAGTGAGGGAAGAATGGACAGGCAGTTCAATGCAGCGTTGGTGAAGGCAAAGCTGTTGATTTACCAGTTGATCTATGCTCCAACCATCATGTGTGGTCACGAGNGGGGGGGGTCGACAGGCAGTTCAATGCAGCGTTGGTGAAGGCAAAGCTGTTGATTTACCAGTTGATCTATGCTCCAACCATCATGTGTGGTCACGAGTTTTGGGTATTTTGGGCCTTAAAGAGAAGGTGAGGACATTCGGGAGGAGCTCAAAGTAGAGCCGCTGCTATCACTGAGCACATACATGCTATGGGAAAGACACCAGTTAGTCTAGCTGCATGTTTTTGGACTAGAGGAAGAATTGCATGATTCTGAGAGCATGTTTACGGCACACAGGGCACCGGTATGATCTGAACTCTGGAAGTGTAAAGCAGCAGTGTCACAGTTAAGTGTCACATGTACCTTTTAATGAAGTTTAAAGAGAGGTCACTGCCTTCATCTGGCCTGTGATGTAGGCAACTGAGAACAGTGCCCTCGTCTACAGTAAGATGCGCAGTGGTATGTCTAATTAGCAAATGGCATGAAATGATGTTTAAGGTGTGTGTTTCTCTCCATCCATTTGATTGGTCAGAATAGTTTCGTCATGTCTAGCTCATGACCAGGTTGTTTGTGATTTAAAACATTTTTAGCAGTTTTCATCTTTGGCCTTTTACCCATGTTACATTGCTGTGGTTCCATCTGCAGTGTTTCCCTGACCATTATATTATATACCATTATATTAGGGGGGTGCCCTGCCCCCCCAACGGCACCTCCTGCCCCCCCTTGAAGGTCAAGTAAATTTTTTTTTTATTTTATTTTCTCTATTGCGCCAGATCACTACAGATGTAATTTAAGGTTACCTATAGAACAGGTCTATAAATTGTCCTTTTATTAAACAAACTAAATAGCCTTATGTTATCTTATTTACACAACAGCTTGTCATTTTTGTTTCTACCCGGTTGCGCATTTATAATTCTCCTCTGCTCTCTGTATCGTGCATGGCGGAGTTCTGCCCGATGCCCTAGCACAGACTCGTGCGCGCACACGCTGGTGAGCACACTCCCACCAGCAGACGGAGCGCACGCGTCAGAAGATATGTTGCGTCAGCCACCTGAAAAGCAGAGACAAATATCTGCGTTTTTTTAACTGCTGTCATTAAAAGAAACACATGAACACCATGAATCCTGTTGGTGTCGTCCCCCCCCGCCCCCCCCCAAGCTGTAAACCTAGGGGAAACACTGCTCTGTTTACAGACACATTGCTCACTTCAGAGGTCAGAATAGCTCAGCATTGCTTTCAGCAGGTCTGTTATTGTATCTCTCATAACCTTTGTGATTTTCCCCTGGTTTATTGGGTTCAGAATAAAAACCTCTTTAGTCAGGAATTGTATTTTTGATTAGAAAAAAATTAAAAAGAAATCCCCTGGATGTAAATGGAGATCTCCTCATAACACTTCCAATTCTATGCCTTGTTACAGGGTAGTCAGCAACTCTCTAACGGCTTCCCGACAGTGCTGCCATTGTAGTGATTTAGTCCAAAATTGATCCCAGCTAATTCTCTTCTCTCATACAACAGTTTCTAAAGTACCATAATTTTATTAATATATTTATGCATGTTTATTAAATCTCTTGTGATTATTTTCTGCTCTGTTCTCTCCAGAGTTTTACAAGAAGATCGTTTTTCCTCTGCCACACATCAGAAGGTGGTCTCTCATTTTTGGTAGGTTTTGCCTCTGCTGTCTGAAGTGTTCCATCAAGATGGCTTTGATTTCTTCGTAAGTGTTTGGTTTTACTCCCATGTCTCATATCTGTTATGCAACTTCTGTTTCCTGTTATTTCCGCTCTTCATTTGATTTCTTGTTTCACTTGAGGTTTAGAGGTCTTTTATGAAGACTTCACTTTATGTATGGAGTTGACTAAAGGGTCTCCTGTCATAGACACAATGCTTCTGTTTTGTAACTGTGACAGTTGATACCACTGTTACGCTGATTACCTACCTCTGTACACCTGAGTTGGAAAGTAACAGCTTGTATTTTTTTCATTTTGTAATGGGTGGGTTTAAATGTTTGTTGTAGGTTCTGGTAGAGCACCCTGGAGGATATGAAATGCCATGCAGCTAAGCTAATAGAGATTATCTTACTGCTGTGCAAAGGCTGTGGAAGTCATGACGTCATGGTGCTGGTATTCAGATTTAAATATAATTCCTTGCAATGTAAATTCTTGCATCTTGATTTTTGGAATGAACGTGTATTTGTGATGTCTGTCAAGCGTATTGTATAATATCTATACTGGCTCTTGCAGGTTGTAGTTTTTTTATACAGGTCCTGGAGCAGCTGACAGAGGTGAAGTCTAATAAAATGAGTGTCGTGCTTCCAGGTTACCATTGCGGCCCTGCATCACACAACCTCACTCCTGTATGACACCAAAGAACCTGAGATTCCCCAACTTCAGGGATCACATTATCAAATGTTTAGTTTCACAGCTGCTGAAAGATGTGCAATACATCCATGGGTAAGCCTGACTACAGTTTTCATTTTTGTGTTTTTAATCTTCTGTAAATATTTAAAAATAAATGGCTTTGCATAAGTTGCAATGGTATCACAGATTTTACCAAAATGTTCACAATAGTAAATTGATCTTTGGGGAACGTTTACTTCAACTCAGATGAAGCATCTCACTTCTAGTAGACTTCATCATAGGAAGGTGTGTGCGCACACGTGCAGGCTTGTCCTGTTTATACTCGTGTATCTGGAGTCCAGGCCAAAGTCTGTGAGCCACGTGGTCCAGCAGTTACTCCCTGCAATGATCCTGCCATCCTGAGTATAAGAGTGAAGAAGGTGGTCAGAAAAAGGACAGATTATCAGCAGAATAATAATGTCTAATATGAAGTAGTAGCCTGATAAAATTGTTATTCTGATCAGATTGCTGGAATTGCATTTTATTGTCAGGTACAGCAGGATTGGCCAGTGATGATGCTGATTGGGCAGGTGGGCAAAGACATGAATGGTAGCTGGTCAGAGGTAATGACACCTGAGGGTTTCTCCACTTCAGTGGGTAGCGACAACCTGGTGGATCAGTATCAGGTCTTTTGGGTACTGCAAAGTAAGGATTTGGGACCTGCCTGAGTTTCTGTGCTGCAGTTATGATGTAGACAACTGGACGTTATGCTCTTCTGCAAGTCAGGTGTTGAGACATGAGCCAGTATCAGAAGCTCATTTGGAGTCTAGATGAGCAACAGCATGAAGAGGTTAGACACTGTATATTAACAGGTAAGAAGACTTGTACAAGGAAAGCTTGCATTGTTAAAATTTGTCCAACCTTGAACCTTTTTGTATCAAAAATGATTGAAGATGGTGGCTGTTGAATTCTAGCTACTGTAATCCCAAGAACCTTCAGTTTTGGATGCAACACTCCAAGAATTAAGTCACAATTCTGACAGTCATGCCATGCACCAGAAAAATTACAATAACAACAGAAAGCAAGTACTTGCTACACCTTACAATATATTAGTACTGTATAAATATAGTGCTTACAGAAAGTCTTGGCACACTTGCAAAATTTTTGCAGAATTAAACAAATTTATTGGTTTCATAAAAATCTATTGACACGTGCAGATGTGAAATTTTACTTTTCTGCACACATTTTCTTATAAATGTCAATATTTTTTTACCCGACTCATTCAGTTCTGTTCTTGCCATTTTGCTGTTAGTTGCATTAGATGTAGTCACTGGCTCCCAAAGGGATACTACCCACAAATATTTGGTGTTTTATGATATTGCAAAGGTGTTTGCTTGTCGTACTTTACAAGGAGCAGCTCTCTTACAACTAAAATTTGAATTTCAAATTATTACTGCATGAATGTTTTACTTAAAATGACTGGCTGTTTCTAATGTGAAGTAATTTTTGTCAAATTTGCAGAATTTTCACTGAATTAAGCATCCCAAGACTTTTAGTGTGCACAGTATACAGTAACAATTCCATACTGCTTGGACTGTACGATCAAAGGCATCCATACATCTGCATATTATTCTCATTTGGAAGCCAAGGGTATTATACTGGCATTCCATGTTGGTTTAATTTCATGTGTCTGTATCACTTATTGGATTCGGTTAAACAGTTCTTTATAACACGAGTGACCATATAAGATGACTTTCCTTTTAAGTATAAACTTAAACATAAATTTATAATGCCAAGCACGCAAAGCTCACCAAAAAAAAAAAAAGTCCAGTCAGTTGTTAAACAATCACGTTCCTTTCACGTATTTCAGAAGTCTACAACAAAAAGCATCTGTCCTTTTATACATTACCAAATACTAAATTATGCATTTTACATTAAATCTTGTAAATTATGAAACTATCAGCAAATTTCTTTTATATAACTATTAATAAAATAGCCCTTTTGGCTCATACATGTATTAATATGAATTTCGTCCCCATGCTACTATAATGATCTCATCTCCTCTGGGAAGGCTTTGTCTGCTAGACCTCTGAACATTGGTGAGATCTGCTACCATCCTGTCATGAGAATTAGTGAGGTTGGGCATTGATTGTAGATGATCAGACCTGGCTAGCATTCAGGGTTTCTATTCTTCCCACAATGTTTGACCTGAGGACATACAGTTTTTACAAATGATATCCTTTCTGTGCTTGCTAGTCCCTTTGTGTAGACTACCACTTTGTATCTGAACTGTTAGTATAAAGCAACAATATGTTGCTGCCAGAGCAGAAATTGAACAATCTGCCTTGTTGGAAAGGTGGCATCCTATGATTGTGCCTTGTTGAAGGCCACTGAGCTCTTCAGTATTCCACCGCCAATGATTGTTGAAGGTTGGACTGAGTGCACAATGTATATACGTGTCATTAATGGGTAATTAGCCAATTCCTTTATGACATGACACCTTTGTCATTTTTAAAAACATATGATGACTAGCTTGTCACATTTGTGATTAATGAAAGTGTGGATTGCAAAAAAGGGTACTTGCAGGTCACATTTGCTAGAGTGCCAACTTTGGTCAGCTGGCTGGTGTGAGATTTTCAGTCTGCACATGCATTTATATGTAAGTAAGAGTTTTATTACCTTGTAAATCTGTAGGGTTTGCAAACTACCCAAATGGTTTTGATGTAGCTAATTTTAGGTTTATAGTGGAATACTATAGATATGCCGTGAGCATCACACCAAATGTGTGTGAGTTGACCACCCAGCATTTTTATTTTCTGAACATGGTAAGCAGACAACACCTTGATACTTTATTCTGCCATACAGGAAGAAGCATCCATACATGAACAATCTTATGCAGGGCAAACAAAATAAACAAAAAGCATGTAATCTGTAATGTTCCTCCAAGTACAAGGAAAGTACTACTTATTGGTGTAATGCAGCTTATGCTTGTGTTCTTGTTATTGGAAAAACGGCTTAGTACTTAACTTTAGCATGGACTGCGTAATTCGCTAGGCCTGCGTTAGCTTTTAAGTGGGTTAATAACTTAATGCATTCAACTTTTCCGCAATATATCACAATCAAGGTTTAACTTTAGTTTTCAACATGGTTAATTGGCTAAGCAAGTTCATACTAAATAGTACAGTTAGCCTGTTAGCTATCTTGGAACCGATTTATTAAGTACAGTACAGATAGCATTAAATGTAAATTGCATATCGTAAAGAATGGGATGAATCCAAGGCATGGTAGCTACTAGTTGAATGTATCTAAATATTTAACGCGACTTTAAAAGTCATAAACGATTTTTATTTGGCTTCCACTCGTTGCAAAACCCTTAATGCAGTCAATTATTAGCAACACAAGGTTGCTTTCAAATAGCTTCCTCTTCCGGAAACATTGACGCGAGTGAACATCATAATATTCTGACGTTTTCTTTGTTTCGGTTTTAAAAACTTAAAATCATTTCGTAGTTTAGCTAAGATAGACATCACGGAAAAGTCAGTAAATATACAGCCATTCCGAGTTTCGTAGCTTATGCTAAAATAAACACTTTCCTTAATTTAATGGACGCCAAAATGGCGTCCAAACTTTGCCCTTCAACTGGTGTGATCTCAACTAAGGCACGAATAGCGAGCTGAAAAAATAGATTGGCAGAACATTAGACCAACCGAATGGCCTATTTCTTTGCGTCAGGATTTCACAGCCAATCACAGCTGTGATGTGTCCGTTTGGCATGCCCATTTGGAGTCTGCTCATTGTTTCATACATGTTCCTGGGCATCAGCAACATTGTACGTTTCCTGCCCTGATGCATGGTGGTCGGACGGAGGAATTGTTGGAAAATTTCAGAGGTTAGTATATAATTGTGTTTTTACCCAGTGTGCCTTATTTCTAACAGCCATCTCCAGCGGAGGAAAGTGTAGCTAGGCATTTCCTGCGCCGAAACAGCAACAGTAAAGACCAAATAAGCCAAGCACAACAGAAAGGAGTCAGTTCGGAAAAGGTTTTATTTATGAATTAGCTAGCTGCACTCCACGTTTTGTACGAGTTGAGCCGGGCGTCTTGCAATACACTAACTACTTCCCCCCTCTGCGAAACTAGTTTCCCCACAGTAACGATTAATTCTGTGTAAGACAGCAATACATTCAATTCATATGTACAACGTGCAAAACTTTATAGTTCACTTATCACCCATATAACTGGACATGCCTAGCTAGCTACATAGTCTAATTTTAATGTTAACATCGGTACTGATAATCGTCACTACAATTCATAAGTCATTAAATATTTTCTTGCTGGGCTAAAATAATATTTAAATATCTGTTGATCATCTATTAACGGAAATAATGAGTATAATAAAACGTCTAACCTTCGCCAAGCTAGCCAAGATTGCGCCCTTTTTCTTCCAGGTATTTTAGGTATCTAACAAACCAATATGGAGTTGAACTTAAGTAATTTTGTCGTAATATTGTGTATAGAAGTGCTTTATCAGCTTTCACAACTGTATTTTTAAGTAATTTGGGTGAACCGTGTTCTCAATGCAAGATTGCGAAGATGGCTGTATTAGCTGTTCGCCGCAAACAGGCTAGTTAGTGAAAGTAAAAGTGCAGCAGATTCAATTTCCAGTATTAATGTGTTTGTAGTCGTTTCAGTATTTCCCCCCTGTAATTTCATATTCATATAATGCTTGGTTTTCAGGATCATCAGATGAATATACATTTTGTATATAAAACTGAGCATTTATTTAAAAGCTATCTGTAAACTTTTTATATAATACCCATTGCAGCTGCTATTGACGTTGATTCTTAACATAAAGTGTCAGACTGCCTTATGCATTGTATTTCGAAGTGTTGTTAACTCACTCGAAATGAGCACGTATATTTTTCTGAGTATCTCATCTTGGTGTACAACTCATTTAGTTTGAAGGTTCTTATATCCTTTAGGTCAGGGTTTCTCAACCCGGTCCTCGGGGACCACCAGACGGTCCATGTTTTTGCTCTCTCCCAATTCCCTGCCAATTGGGAGAGAGCAAAAATGTGGACCGTCTGGTGGTCCCCGAGGACTGGGTTGAGAAACCTTGCTTTAGGTCATGGGTTTGAATCCCATGGCTAGCAGAGTCATCATCATTGCTGTAGGCCCCTTAACCCCAGTTGCTACAGAGGCACTGACTTTTCCTGCTTTCTAATCCTTACTTATGTTTCTAGAATGATAGAAACACCTGATAGATACAAGTAAAATGTAATGTAAATGCACATGCATACTATATGGTACTAAACTGCTTCTGACTGCTGCTGGTCTTGGGGTGTCCATTGTCCCTCAGTGGGTCATTGTGCCTTTTCTGCCTACTCCCTAGTCCACAGCTTTCAGTATTTCACACCATTTTTCTGTTCAGTGAGCCTAGTATATGTCCACTAAACAAGGGGTTCCCAACCTTCTGTCTGCAGACTGTGATGGTTCATGACCTGTATTGTATCATATCACAAAATCCTGGGGTTTTTGCTGAATATTTTTTATTTTTTTTTTACACACACGTATTTATATCCTTTAATCATTGTCACATTGAGAGTTTCTTTTCCAAGTAATCCCTTTACGATCCCTCATGTTCACAAGTTGTTTCCATTTGAAAAAGATGAAAATGGTTAAACTTATGAAATCAGCGATCGATGTCCCAGCTGTTTTATTAGCCCATGATATTTTTGTACAGCGTGAACTGGTCCGCAAACATCAAGAGGTTTGGAACCCCTACACTAAACTTTTGACCTATTTCTATGTATACTTAAAGATGCTTCTGCGTGTGTGTTTAGGGAAGTCATGCTGTTGGCTCAGATTAACCACGACTCACAGGGAGTGGTGGATTTACAAAATGGCGGAGGAGATGCCCAACATGTCACACTTTGTCTTGCTGAGGCGGTTACGGTTTCAGGTGAGGTTGTCCAGGAGTCACAACTGTTTTGCTTTAAGCTACTCTACCTTGCATTGAGATTTTGAACCAACCTTCTGTCATTGATTTGTCTGTATACAGTCAATCCTAGCTATTACAGATGTAATTCAGCTAATTTTCTTTGCTTCAAAGATGGTAATCATATGGACAGCATGGACACTGTCAGTTTGCAGGCTGTGACGCTTGCAGATGGATCGACAGCATATATTCAGCACAACCCCAAAGGTAAAATTTTCTTTGCAGTGTCTTCAGTAAACGACTGTAGTAGATTAGACTAAATTTTTTTTTGACTGTAGTTCTACCTGTTGCAATAAGCTGTTGAATAAAATGGGACATGGGGTGATCAGCCTTGCAGGAAAGCAGTATTCATTTTGACAGCGGATTTTAATTTTAGTTTTTGTCTTGCTCTTTTGATGAAAATGCAGTTAACTTTTAATAATCTGATATTAAAATTTACAGGATATTTAGGCGACTAAATATTCAGTATATACCGTGATTGAAACTAGTAGGTGTAGTTATGGTTTAAAACATCGTTTTCACATTTCTTTGAAAACTTCACTTAATCTGTGTACACAAACACACAAACAGATTTCTCTACCTCTCTCTGCTCTAGATTTCTGAAGGAAATGTATGTAAAGCTGTTTTTATAGCATTCCATTAGGTTTGACGATGTGGTTTTTACAGACACAGATGTCACTATTGTAATATGAAACATTACACTAATTGTAAAATAACTTTATGAACTTTATCAATCACTAAATATAAGTAAAACAAATATTTACTTGCATCTGCGTTTGAATTATAGGAGAAAAAGGCCAAAGGGTTCTTCAAATCTGGACCTCGTTTCCAAATCCAGGCCTTGTTTTCAGTTCTCCCAGGTAGTTAGTTTAATAATGACTGATTCTGATTGGTCAGAGGCTTCACACCTGACTGACAGGTAAAGGAAGGCTGGAAAACCAGCAGTGCTCGGACCTCGAGGACCGTGATTTGAATAACCCTGGTCTACAATAACTAAAGATACTACTTCTCATTGTTTAAATATGCATCTGTTTAAATGTCTCTTCCTGACAGTTTCATCCTTTAACTTTTTTATTGACAGTAGTGTCAGTATATTTCATACATTTCAGTCATCATTTAACTAACGTTTTTGTCAATGAAAAATCAATGAAATTAACACTGCAGGAAAGTAAGTCAAATTGTGGTGTTTAGTTTCCATTTCAGATGGTAAATTAATGGATGGGCAGGTCATTCAGCTGGAAGATGGATCTGCCGCGTATGTTCAGCATGTGTCCATGCCAAAAGCAGGTCAGCCCCAGGATACCTCCTTATTGTATAGTTCTGTACTGTACATGTTAAATTCTTATCCGGTAAGCTGTACTCGTATGTTTCTAAATTTCAATTTAAAAATGTGTTGCTAAGGCTGACATGGTGGGATCTGAACTACTGACTTTCTGATCACAGGCCACGTACATGTGGCTGACAGTGATGTGGACGTTTGACTCTTCAGCCAGACCCTTAACCCCAATTACTTCAGGGACACTTGCTGACTCTACTATGACCCATAAAAAAGTTGCTCTCCTGCATATTTTTCTGTGTCTCGTGGAGAGTAAGATAGGGAAGTCTAAAACTACTTATTCATTACAGTGAGGAACTTGTGTCAATATTATGTTCTATGAAGCATGTGACACCTACAATGGGCTTTAACCATCTTCTCATGCTTGACGTGAAATGTTATCCTTTTCCTTACATTTAATTCCCACAATATGTGATGTAGGAAATGACAGTCTGAGATTGGAGGATGGTCAGGCTGTGCAGCTGGAGGATGGAACGACCGCTTACATTCATGCGCCCAAAGGTATGCCTCATATACTGCAGCAAACCCTGCCTGTATTCGTATTCTCTTATCCATGTAAATTTCTAAACTCTCTGAATTGCTTGTTTACATGTAGTACTTGTTTAATGATGCAGTAAACTCTGAAATGCCCCAATAATTTGTGCCCTTTTCTTTTGTCCTCCCTCTTTCCTCTCACTGTTCGTTGTACATATCAGAAACATACGATCACGGTGCCCTGCAGGCCGTGCAGCTGGAGGACGGCACGACGGCGTACATCCAGCACACGGTGCAGATGCCCCAGTCCAACACCATCTTAGCTATACAGGCAGACGGCACCGTGTCAGATCTTAATGCCGAGGGCACCATAGATGATGAGACCATTAGTGTTCTAGAGCACTATGCTGCCAAGGTGGGTCACTGTGGACTCCTTGTTGAGCATGTGCACGGTCTTTGTTTATAAAACATGGCTGTGGGTTGAAATGAGGTCCATATGGTCCATTTAAATGATTGCTCGAGTTGCCCCGCCCCCATTTCAGGCGGAGACTGCGGAATGTGTCAGCTCAGGGCTGGTCAGCAGGAATGAGTCAGATGGGGCTGTTCAGATGCAGGTAAATTGTAGCCTGTGCTGAAATCCAAACTACTTCGTTACATTTTCTTGGTCCCCAAAGAGGAAGCTGATGTGCGTTTCTCTGTCAGATTGTCGTCCAGGGCCAGGAAGCTGCTCGCGGTGTGGTGAAGGTGCAGCCGCCGGGGGAGAAGTCCTTCCGCTGTGGCTACAGTGACTGTGGGAAGCTCTACACCACAGCCCACCACCTGAAGGCATGCTTTCAGAGAGAGTGCAATGACTTGCTGCATTCCTGTACACATTGCTGGATACTCGACTTCTGTTTCGTTTGCAACAGTGATATAAATCACCTTCTAGTAAAATTAAGACAATTGCTATAATATTGTAGAATCAATAGAATATTTCAGAATCTGTAAAGTTAAAACTGAATTAAAAGCATTTTAGTTGTTCTACTGTGTCATACAATGATCAGTTGGGGCTTTTTGTGTATATGCAGGTTCATGAGAGATCGCACACAGGAGACCGACCGTACCTGTGTGACCACCTGGGCTGTGGTAAAAAATTTGCCACAGGTAACCAGCTTCAGTTTGACTAGCTTAGCTGTCATAAACTGATCGTTGTCGTCATGGATTGTTGGGTCTTCTGCTCACATTTCTCAATTTCATAAAGAGATTTTGTTTTGCTTGGTCCTTGCTCCAGGGTACGGGTTGAAGAGTCACGTTCGGACACACACTGGAGAGAAGCCGTACCGATGTCAGGAGACAAACTGCCGCAAGTCATTCAAGACGTCTGGGGACCTTCAGAAGCACATCAGAACCCACACAGGTAAACACCTACAGTGTACCTTTGAGTACTGACTTTCTCTAGTTATCAACCTTTCATGCAATTGCTCTAGTTAGTGGAAGAGATCTGTGTTGTGTGACAGCTAAATTGGTTTAGCTAGACTGATTATTAGTTTTGATTTAACGGCGTTTAACTGTAAAAGTGCATGTATACTGCCTTGGGGCAATATGCAATGAACTGTCCTGTTTGTAGGAGAAAGGCCATTCATGTGCCCTTTCGAGGGTTGCGGACGGTCCTTCACCACCTCAAACATTCGCAAGGTGCATATTCGCACGCACACGGGGGAGCGACCTTACTACTGCCCTGAGCCGGGCTGCGGACGAGCCTTTGCCAGCGCCACCAACTACAAGAACCACATGAGGATCCACACAGGCATGTAGCTGGCCGCCATCTGCTGTTCGCTCACTTCTGCTTGGCCATGATGATGATTTGATATCATTAGAATATCAATGGCCTTGACACACAATATTATTATTGAAGTGTTAATTGGTAACTTTGCCTTTCAATTGCACAACTATTGATAATGGTGCCAAAAAAATCCCAACCTTTTGGCCTGAACGAGCTCAGATTCACGTTCATAAAATGTTTGCTGTCCATATGAGGTCCATAAGACTTCTCAAAAACTTCCATCCCAAGTTATTGCAAAAGTTTGCTCAGATGTAGATGCTATCAGGAAGGTGGATTATCTCTCAGTAACAAGACGTGGTTCATAAACACTAGTGGCCATTCAAAGATAAGCTAAAACTTTATGGGGAAAATATATAAAAAGGTGGTATTGGCAGTAATACTCCCCTCCCCCCAGGAATTAAGTGTATAGTATAATCGAGGCTGATAATGAAGGAAAAAAACACATCCTCTGAAGAACATTCCCTTCAAGAAAACTTCCTTGTAGACTTGCTGTTGTTGCTGTTCCAGTCCAGTAACCTGTGATAGACTGAGACCTGATGACCATCCCAAGCAAAGCTCTGTTGTCACAGAGAGCGTTTGTTTGCGTTTCTGAGTTCCCCCCCCGTCCCGTGTCTCCAGGAGAGAAGCCATACGTGTGCACAGTGCCCGGCTGCGACAAGCGCTTCACCGAGTACTCCAGTCTCTACAAGCACCATGTGGTGCACACGCCCTGCAAGCCCTACAACTGCAACCACTGCGGCAAGACGTACAAGCAGATCTCCACGCTGGCCATGCACAAGCGCACGGCTCACAACGACACGGAGCCCATCGAGGAGGAGCAGGAGGCCTACTTTGAGCCCCCAACAGGTAAGGAAGGACCAGTCTGCTCGCATAGTGCCACTTTATAACACAAACTATACACCCTGTGCATAAATATTAGGCAAGTGTGTATTTAGCTTGTATCTTCCTCACAATAGTTCTAGTCCAGATTTATCTCCAGTTAAATATAGACTGTTTAAAAATAGAGCATGCTCAGTGTTTGGTCTGATTACTTTAATACTGGGAGAAAAACAGGAAACCTTGGATACTTCTCCGTGCAGAATTATTAAACTTATTATTGCTGTTAAAATGGGACAAAAACGAGTCTTGGAGAAAGTGCAGGGGGGAAGAACAAACTGGTAAAGTGCCAGTCAGAGGGGTGCAGATGAAACATCAAGAATGGGCTCATGGACCATTTTAAGACTGATTTTCACAATGGTTTTGAGGACAGATGAGATGAGTGATTCTTGGTGGAGCATTTGGATGGGTCCATGGATGGACAACTTAAAGCGCCAAAGAAAGTGGTTGGAGGAGTGATGTGGGCTGCAATTATCAGTGACTTGCAGATTGTGTAAAAATTAACTAGGTTCTGCCAATTTCTAGATGCCACCTTCACATGCTAACATAACAGAAAGGTTATGATATTCATACAGCACAATGCTCCATCCCATGAATAAGTATTCCACAGATTTGCCAAGAAACACTTGAAATTTGATCAAATTATGACCTAGCATCATTCATTGCTTGACTTAACCACCATTGAGAACTACTGGGCCTTCTAAATATGAAGTTTACCAGTGTGGCGATCAGTACACTACTCAGAGCAGCGTCTGAGAGGTGATCCTAGTTGCCTCAGCTAATGTAGGATGGGATTAAATTGAAAAACTGACTGGTTCAGCGGACAAGAAGCTCATGATGGCCTTTGAGAAGAAAGCTGGCTATACGGGACTGAGTAAATTGGATTATATAGAACGGCTGATTTAGTTTATATCTATTTCTGTTGATGGTGGAGAAAATATCCACTTAGTTTCTGACTACTTGATTATCAGTATGCATAATTATTAAGTGTTCCTTTTATTCTTATTTGTGGCAGACTAATGTAACATTTTCTCTAAATCAAAAATTATTTTGTAAGTCTACCCAACTTGCTAGAAATTCTCAGGAATAGTACAGTGGTACCTCAGAACTCGAAATTCGTTCAGAACTCCGGACCGAATCCTAAAAGTTCGAGTTCTGATCGAATTTTCCCCATAAGAAATAATGGAAAACCAATCCCGGCCCCAAAAAAAGTTACACCGAAATGTTTTTTTTTTTAGCATTTAAACACAAAATGAACCGGACAAAACAAGAAAAGCATATACTGTACTAAAGACATCTAAGCACATTTATCAAAACAGTAATTTTTTAAAGTAAGAAAATAAATGTATCCAAACAATGGGTAAAGTTAAAAAAAAAAAAAAGTGTCATGCCCGATCTTCCGCTCCTTCCGTGTGCCACGCCCCCTCGTTAACCCCGTATGGAATCCCCGTGTGATCAGCTGTTTCTGGTTGTTGTCATTAGTCCTCTGTATTTAGTCTGCGTTTCAGTTTGTTTCCCCAGTCCGGTCATTGTATTGTCTGTCTGCGTTTTGCCTGCATTACCTGTAATTAATCCCCTTATTCCCCGATACCCTGACGTCTGCGTCTTAGGTCTCCATTCCGTCCCCACTGGGCACGACAATATTATTATAATTAAAAATGTATTAATGGTTTATTATTAATATTAAAATAATTAATAAGAAATCTTTATTTTTAAATGTATTTTATTATATTATAATTACTGTTACTGTCTATCATTATCTAAATGTATTTTTACTGTAAATATATGTATTCAGTTACTGTAAACATGCACGGTGCTATCACAGTGAATGCAAGGCTGAGACTGAAGCGTTACCCTTCATTTCCGCTGAGAGACATGCCGCGTGACTCATTTCCCTGTGCGTACAAGTTCTTAGGTCGGCGTTCACGGTTTGACTTCTGAGATTCAGATTGAGTTCTAGGAAAAAAAAATTCGAACTGCTTGGTTCGACTTTTTAAGAAATTCGAGTTCTAATGAGTTCGAGAACTGAGGTACCACTGTACTTGCTTAATACTTCTGCACACAGTATACATTATGGTATATTGAGACTATATAGGGAAAAATGCACATAAAGGGCAGTTGAGCATAATGAATGCAGTGGTATTTTGCATTAGATCGTGATGGTATACTGGTTTAAACAATGATGTCAACATCAACATTCGTGAAGAAGGTTACATTTAATGTTCAATGTTCATTCATTCTGAATTAATTTCTGAAACTGACAATTTGCTGTTATTTTTTGCCGTTAACACAGTGTGGGTGGCACAGTGGTGCAGTGGTTAGCACTGTTGCCTCACACCTCTGTTACGAAATTGCCCACAGGTGTGTATGTATTGGTGAATGGAGTTTGAGTATGCCCTACAATGGGCTGGCACCCTATCCTGGGTTATTCCCTGCCTTGAGCCCATAGTGTCCAGGATAGGCTTCAGACCCCCAGCGACCCTGAATAGCATAAGCGGTTTCAGAAATTGGATGGATGCCACAGTGCACAGCTTCCTAGCTAATACAGAGTGAAGATGTCAATGTATTCTGAGGAAACTGAGGATGCAAGTTAACAAAGGAGCAAAGTATGCCCACCACAAAAATGAAGGTGTATAGTCTCATTTTGGGTTCAGATTATGGTTGAGAATGTCTTGCCAATTTGTAGAGCATGTGGTAAAGCTATTGTGAGCATGTGGTAAACCATTATGTACCAAACCACATTTGTCATGCTGGGACTTATTCATGCCATTGTAGCCCTGATTGTAGAAGTAATACAAGTCAGCTACAGTGATCAGAATGCGTCTACTTCTGGTTTTCATGGTGGTTTGGGTACGTGCTGCACTTGTGGTGCAAAATGGGGAAACAAACAGGAGTGACTTGGCAGGCCTTAAGCATGACTATGATGCAGTCCTGAAATATTTGCTTAAGTGGCCATGTTTCATTTTGCTATCATGCTTCAGATGCCATTGATGATCCTGCCGTAACCTATGTTCCAGAGATGGAAGAGGAGGATTCTGGGTCAGAACACGTGTCCTCTGAGACCGCGGAGGCCATTGGGCATCAACACGTGGCTCTTATCACACAAGATGGAACTCAGCAGGTAACTAATCTTTATGTGCTAAAAAAAAAAAAGGCAAGATGCAGTTCTGGAAATTTTCACGGTCTTCAGAGTAAATTTCTACCTACACTCCTCAGTGAACAGATGATTTTCCTTTTTTTTTTACAATTTTTAGTAGTGATTAGCACTGTTGCCTCACCTCTGTAACTCGGGTTCGGATCTCTTATGTTTCCGTGTGTGTGCAGTTTGCATGTTCTCCCTGTGTGTGGGGTTTCCTCCGTGTAGTCTGGTTTCCCACCACAGTCCAGTATCATGCTGAAGGTAATTGGAGTTACCAAATTGCCTGTAGGTACGCATGTGTAAGTGACTGGTGACTTGTTGATGGATTCCCTTGTTTGTGAGAGACCAAATACATGTGTAGTAGTCTACTGCCATGCTTTCGCTTTCAGAGGAAAAGGGTTTCATTTAGGTTCACAATATAAATTAGTCCATGTTCCACAATTTACTTAATGGTAAAATCATTGCTTAATAAATTAATAACTTTTCAAGTGCTTTTTTGACATGGGTGCCTGATTAGACCCCTTAATGTTTTGAGTTCTCACTTTTTGAAGCATCTTAATTTCTTGTGTAAATCAGCAAATGTATGTGTTCCTAGGTCAGTATATCCCAGGCAGATATGCAGGCGATAGGAAACACGATCACCATGGTCACTCAAGATGGCACAACCATCACTGTGCCTGCCCATGAGGCTGTTCTCTCTTCAGATGGAACGCACTCCGTCAGCATGGTAGCAGCTGATGGGACTAATGAGCAAGTATGTTTCCTATGCATTGATATGATCTGGTCCTGTCAGGTATTTGTTAGAATGTGGTAGTGGGAAAATGTAGGCAATCTTAAAGGGAATTTTTTATTGTCTTTTGTGATGTAGTGCCTATCTAGTGATAAATAATAATAATAATAAAATATAATATAATTTCACTGTCGTGTTTCTGGGTATTTCCTAAATGAGTTTGGGGAAGCACCTTTTTTGAACTCCACTTAAAAAGATGTCTTGCTTAGAGCCTTTAGGACTTAAACATGATAGTACTTGTTTTGTACTTCTGTGTTGTCTCCCTGCAGGTAACCATTGTGACTCCAGAGTTAACATTCCATACTACGCAGGCTGAGCTTGTCCAAGATCATGAGCACCACCTAGTGACAGCCAGTCCGCACCCTGTGACCTTATTAGCCACTTCCAATGGCACTCAGATTGCAGTGCAGGTAGGTCACCTAGAACCTATTCATACAAGAATGTGGGAGTGAGCCATGCAAGTATTTTACCTCATTTGTAGCCCTATCAGATTGCACAAAAATTTTGGTCATAGGCTAAGAAAATATGCGAAACCATATCTCTGTGCCTTGACAGGAAGTTCATAGGGACAGGATACACTGCGTACTTTTTGAAGCATGCACTGGATGTAGGTTTATGACTTTGTGGGCAGGAGTGTGGATGGGTTGAGCCCACAAGAGGCCCTACTGCTTGACTGGGGAATGCATTTTTGAGAGATTTACGTGATCTAGCTTCTAATAAATTAAGCTATAAATTTAGCTATAGAAGCATTTATTATTGCTTATCAGAGTCTCCAGCAATTGACTTGGGGAAACGCCTGTTAAGGTGTTGGATTTTTCCCCTCCCTTTCTGCAACATTTTAACCACCTGTCATTGCACTAATTTTTATGCTGTGCCAGTTACGCCTTTTAACAATTGCCTTATGTTAAATTTAGCAGTGATGTATTCTTAGCTACAGGTCTTAATACCCCTGTATTGCACAAATTGATTTTGCAATTAAGCAAACAAATAATTCTTCTAGACTGTGATCATATGAAGGAGACCCGTCTGCAGTTGACAGCCTAGGTTCTGCTTTCATAATAGGAATTGCAGCATTGATTGGAGCTTGAATGACTAATTTCATACCAACTTTAAATTCCTTGTAGCTCAGTGAACAGCCATCACTGGAGGAAGCCATTCGAATAGCTTCACGAATACAGCAAGGAGAAACTCCAGGGCTGGAAGAATGAGACGGCTGCTTTTTTGCTTCTAAAGAAAATTTCAGGGAAAAAAACTGCAAATGTTTTTGGCTGCTTGCTTGTTTAACAGGGCTCTTGCAGTTTGCTTGCTCACAGGTATTGATGCTAAATCTCTGCATATTTTAAAATATGTACTTGGCAACTACTTTTGGATAAACATTCACTTTAACCGTTTGTGAAATTTGGAACACTGAACAATTCCACTGTCTGAACTACCTAAACTTTTTTTTTTTTTCATTTTTATGATAAATATATACTTCTGTGTATATGCAGTCAGTGTAAATTGTGCTTATTTTACCTTGGATAATGTACAAATTATGCATTACACTTTAGTTACCCAGAATTAAAGCAATACATCTCTTGTATTCTTGTATGCTTTTCATTGTGAATTTACACTTTTTCAATATTTTTGGTATATGGAATTGATTTAATCAGTTTTAATACAATTTTAGAATATTGCACATTAGGTATACATTTGAAACTAAGGAAAACCAGTACACTAGTTTCAAGATGCCTACTTGGGAAATGAACTACTGTATTATAAATGTTTAAATCTGGTGTTTCCAGTGTACAGACAGGACCTGTCGTCAAAATATGTACCTGTTTAACCCTAATAAACATAGAGGACAATTATTAAGCAACACGGTCCTGTGTAGTAATTATACCTCTGTATTTCAGTTTTAACTAATTTGGGAATTTTAACTACTTTGGGAATTTAACTAATTCCCAAAGGCGTCTCGTCTAAAATCTCTCTTTAGACAGTGTAAAGGTCCATATAAAACAATACCAAGACAAAACCCTATTTCTATTCTGGGCTCTACTAAATCAGCAGTGAACGGTGATGTTTTTATGACCAACTAAATTAAACGTGTATTTCATAGGAGAAATCGTACAATCCGTTTTATAACCATACATTTGCTTTTAAGCAATCACACCGAGCTTTTACCTCCGTGCTTTTATGAACGTTGTGTTCGACTGCATTCTTTAAAATGTTAATGCACTGTTACTCGTAATTATATTTTCTCAGTGGTCGCTGGTTAAATTACTAGCCCTTAGGGCTCGTTCCCAAAATGCACGTTGCCTTGTCCTTTTCAACTCGCGCGTTCTGCAATTCGCTAGAACATCATATATTGCAGAGAAAGCAATGTTTATGTTCTCACTAATGCGCTGCGTTGCAGTGCATTTTCAAAACGGAATGCTGCACCTATTTCTCTGCACTGCGCACCCCCATTGATCATAATGTAAAATGGATACAAACGCATTCCAAAGTATTTGTATGCGTTTTTACTCCCTCTTCTCCACAAACACTAGGGACAATCACGTAAAATCACAGAAAGGGCTAATAGAGCGCAACATTAAAACCTTATACAGGCGCACAATAACGTGGACAAACGCAAGATAAAAACGCAGTATAACGGGGTGCGCTTTTCGTTGCGTGTTTTGGCTTCCCCAGGGTGCACACACCCTTACATACTAACAATATCGCATGGCTAACAAATGAATGCGAAAAACTGGCGCCAAAATGACGTATATGCAGATTCCAAAACGCCGTGGGGTAACCATTCGACCCGCCCCCGATTTAAACTAGGAAGGTTTGTTCCAATTGGCTGCCGGCCGGACTCTCCGACCAACGGTCGCCTTGAGTGTTTTACTGGGCCGAGCAGAAGTTGTATTAGCGGTTCGAAGTAATTTCGTAAACAAACACGAGTTGTAGTTTGTGGCGGCTGACTTTGGCAACTGAGAGGTTCTTATTGACTGCTTATTTCATATTGAAACGTTTCATTTGTCATCTTTTATAACAGAATGCAATGCTTTAAGTTAGCATGCAGTGTGGTAACCGGATGAATGTGTTGTAGCCATTTTCGTTCGCAGTGTCGGCTCGGTTGTCTGATAACTATCCAGCTGGTTCAAGGATTGCTTCTAGACGAGTCATCTATTTTTGGTTAAACTAATCCGATCCTATGTTTATTCTCGTGTAATGATATCGTAAAGTGATATTTAATTAAACGTTGCCGACACAATTTCGAAACACGGCGATATCACCCCAGGGTATATGTACTAAATGTATTGATTAAAAGACCGTTACCGTTCTTGCTGCCAGTACTGGCGTTAAAGGGCAGTCGGCATGAGCTTCACAGTCTGTCGTCAGCTTGATTCCCCAATGACCGGAAAAAACATTCGTCAGAAGTTGCAATTTTCTCCCGGCGACGAAGACTCTTCGGTGGAAGAGGACGGCAACCGCAGTACGGGAGCTGAGTCGGGCTTCACGGAGATGGACTCTCCGCGGCGTGTTCGGCGAAGCTCGGCCGATGACCTGAATGATGTTGGAAGCAGCCCCTTGGACGGCACAAGAGAAGATGCCGAGTCCTGGGACGAGGAGCGCTTTGGCTCACTGTCCCCCTTGAAATCGAGCATTTTTATGATGCGATCCCCGTCTCCGAGGAAGAGTGCTCACAGTTACTGCCGCTTCGACGACCGACATAACTACGGCCCCCCTGTAGCTGATCGGCCCGATACTCCTCCGCACAAAACTTTCAGAAAACTTCGATTGTTTGATACCCCGCACACACCGAAGGTAACTGGCGCTTTGCAAATATGAATTGTTTTACTGGGTATATTTCAATGTGCGACTAAAATGCTTGCTTAATGCATTTTATGTCCATTCAATGATAGTAGTAAATTCCAAAATGCCGTTCGTTATTCATACATCAAGTGTAGTCTGCTGTATGTGCGTAGCGTTATTCTGCATGCTATTTAAATCTGCATTAACAGTATGGCTTAAATTTGAGTCTGAGGTCTATGTCCGGAGAACTAATTGTATTTCCCTCCCCCCAGAGTTTGCTGTCCAAAGCCAGTGCGGTCAACACGCGGTCGTTAAATAGGAGAGTTTGTCTCTCCAGGAATGTGGATTCGACGGGAAAGGTCAGCCAGACCTTAAGAAACAGTCATACGCCCCTTATTAACATCAACCCGTTTACTCCAGAGTCATTGCTCCTCCAGTCTGGAACGTTACAGAGGATTAACAGAAAGCGATCACACTGGAATGAGTAAGGTTTTTTTTATATAATAATAAAAGTCATTTGTATGCAGTTGTGGGTTTCGACACGTAGTTTACTTTAACACTTGAGGTACAGTAGAGGTAGACCTTTTTTCACGTATCCCATCTTGTTCTCCTTTGGGAGACACGCACGCGTACATTTGAGAGCAAAGCGCATGATCAGTCATCCGGCGCTCCTGAGCATTTTGGGCGTCCTGGGTTTGGCATGCTGTTTTGCTATTTGAAGCAGTCACAGGTTAAACATACTTCATTCACATGTATTGTAAAATTTGCATGCGTTATAGTTGGGAGAGGGTTTGCAGTTAGTGTGATACTTGCAGAAAACCAAGTCCACATGCTCGTTTAACCACGTGCTCATTAAACACTCGCTGCTCCCTCTAGTGGTTGGTCTTCGTATTGTTCAGAGAAATGTTTTGCATTTCAGTTCCTGTGGAGAAGATATGGAAGCAAGTGATGCTGAAATTGAAGATGAGATCATTCCACCATCAAAGGTAAAAAGCAATATATAAGAGCAGTGCATATCTTGAATATTTATACATTGAGATGATGCGTTATAAAACTTTTTTTAGAAGCTGACTATAATGGAGAGTAACATGATGTCGAGATATGCCACAGAATTCCACGAGCTGGAGAAGATTGGATCTGGGGAGTTTGGCTCTGTTTTCAAGTGTGTGAAACGGCTAGATGGTTGCATATACGCCATTAAACGGTCCAAGAAGCCACTAGCTGGCTCTGTTGATGAGTAAGTAAGCACTATATCTGTGCATGAAAGCTGGTTCCCAATGGGAAATTTCCTAACGTCACTCACTGTTAGTTATTTCTTCCACAGGCAAAATGCACTGAGGGAAGTCTATGCCCATGCAGTGCTGGGACAGCATCCCCATGTGGTCAGATATTATTCTGCATGGGCAGAAGATGATCACATGTTGATACAGAATGAATACTGTAATGGTGGCACCCTCTCTGATGTCATAATGGAGAACTACAGAGCCATGCATTTCTTGTCTGAACTGGAGCTTAAAGATCTTCTTTTGCAAGTTAGCCGCGGCCTGAAGTACATCCACTCCACATCGCTGGTTCATATGGATATCAAGCCAAGTGTGTTTCTCCCCGAAAAGAATTGTGTGTTGTGAATGTAGTAATGACAGTAATGTAATGCATCTCTTTGTTTCAAGGTAATATATTCATATCTCGGAGGACGGTACCATGTGTTGAAGATTGTGATGATGATGATGGACCAAATACCAGTGTTGTTTACAAAATAGGTAAGGTAGCAAATGTGACGGGCCTGGGCCAGAATTATCTTCATTTGAAGTGACAGGATATTAATTGTGGGTTATTTTAATTTAGGTGATCTTGGGCATGTGACTAGGGTTGACAATCCTCAAGTTGAAGAAGGTGACAGCAGGTTCCTAGCAAATGAAGTGCTTCAAGAGGTAATTTGGGCATGTTTTTTCTCTTTAATATGTACGTTTTGCTTTTTGACATTATCTGATTGAAGGAAAAACTTGATTTCCAGGACTATACAGACCTTACAAAGGCAGACATCTTCTCACTGGGATTGACTGTGATAAGCTCTTCCGGTGCTGAGCCGATGCCAGCCAATGGTGACAAGTGGCATGACATTCGGAAAGGAAAGTTGCCCTTGATACCGCAAGTGCTCTCTCAGGATTTCCTTGATTTGCTCAAGGTAAAATACTACGCCCTAACACTATAATTATCTGTTCAGAAGGCTGTTAACATGATCTCGACTTAATGTTTATTTAAAAGATGCCTTTCAGGACGCTCAAGGTCATCTCACTGAAGTAAAAACAACTTCAGTTTTATGTCTGGCAAACATGCTGCTATTTGCTGATGATATTTCTTGCTTATTGTAGCTGATGATCCATCCAGAAGTAGAGCGGAGACCATCTGCCTTTCTCCTTATCAAGCAGCCGGTGTTGCTGACAGCGGCCAGGATGAATGCTGACCAGCTGCGTGTGGAGCTTAACGCTGAAAGATTCAAGAATGCCCTCCTACAAAAGTATGATTCTTGTCATGCTCATTACCACTCAGGCTCATCTGACATATTAAAGTTGTCAGGTTACTTTTTGATGGTACTGGGTTGTATATAATAAAGTTGATAATCATACTTCTCTAGTTGAGAGAATTAGTTTCCTTCACAAGTGTGAGTAGTGTAATTTTATTGCAGTGATCTGTTGCAATGTGTTGCTGATAGAGCTGAATAGTCGTCATTTGTTTGAATCATTGCCTTGCAGAGAGCTGAAAAAGGCGCAGCTGGCTAAGGCTGCAGCTGAAGATAGAGTGCTCTTCACAGACAGGGTACTCACTCGCTCCATTGTCCAGTCTGGTAACAGGACATCGAGACTCATCGGCAAGAAGATGAACCGTTCCGTCAGCCTGACTATTTATTAGTTATTAATCAGCCTTTTTTTGTTAGACCTGTAACTCTGTACCTTGGAAGTCGGGCAGAATGTCAGTTTCACTAACTTGGATTGTGCGGAGATCTTGATAGTACTTATTCATTTTTGGGTACTTGGAACGTTTGTTCTTGTTGAAGCTGCATTTGAAATTTCTGGTGTCATAAATCCTTCAGAGTGAGGGGGTTGCATGAACGCCCCTAAGCACATCAGAGGTTTCCTTCTATTCGGCGTTTCTCCTGTTTGAGGGAGGCAGTGCATGGATGCGGCTTCCCTTCGGTGTGAGGATGCAGCATGTTTGATTTTTGCACCTTACGGTCTGTGAAATATCTGATGTCCAGCAAACACTGCGGCATCAGATAAGATTCACACAATTGAGCACTTTTATGGCAATGAGTACATTTTTGTCAGACATACATGTTTGCTGCTATAAATGTTTTGCCGGGATTGTTTGGGTCAAAATTTTCTGGCCCGTGTGAATCATTTGATTTTTAAACCATTTTAACAGTTGGTGTCTTCTCTCAGTGTATGCGTTGGTTAAACATCTCAGCCAGGAGACTCCAGCTCCGGTCCTGGAGAGCTACTATCCAGTAGGTCTTCTACCTGACTTCTGCTGAGCCACACTTTTTCTCATTCACACTTCCTGCCATTTGCTTGAGAACAGCTGTGGCTCATCAGTAGCAAAGTAGGATAGAAAACCTACTGGAGAGTAGCTCTCCAGCACTGGAGCTGGAGACCCCTGTTTCGGACAGATGTTAACTGTTATGGATGTCAACTGTATATCTGTTCACCACTGCGTTCTACATTCATAAAGCACCATCACTTATGGTATAAGTAGCTGAACCATGGCATGCGAAAGGTGTTAGTGATCCTTCCCTTCATCCCATAAAATCTTTTACCTTACACGTTCTTATGGTGCTAAAGTAAATAGTCAGAAATGGGAATCGATCCTCATCTTCAACTCTGCCTCGAGCGTTAGCATGGATCATTGCCTTTTTCTTTTTGTGAGCGATGTTTTTTTTTTTCCTCATAGTTCTCATATGTAATGTTTGTTGGCTCGATTACTTTGTCTCATTCTGTAGGTTCGTTTTCATTTGTTTGTCAGCTTCATTGTATATGGGGTTCGTTGCTTTTGTACAAATCTTCCTAATAAAATGGAGTTTTGATAAACTTTGACTTACCGGCGAGGTGCACACGGTTTTTCCTTTTCGCACTGTCGACACGAGTGAACGACGCCTGTATTTAAAGCAGCATGTTCATCAGCGACCGTTAGGTGGCGCTAAGGGCCCCGTAGCTCACGGTGGGCGTGCCGTACGCCGATCACGTGGCTGTCGTGTTTGTGAGTTGCGTTTGTTCACATAAGGGAACTAAAGTTAAGGCGATATCCAACAAGATGGGACTGAGGGACGAACTTTTGAAATCTATATGGCATGCTTTTACAGCTTTGGATGTTGACAAAAGTGGGAAAGTGTCTAAATCTCAACTAAAGGTAAGAATTTTGTTTTTTGAAAAGTAAAATTCTTTTTACGCAAACATTGCTGTGCGCTCACTATGAACGAAACGCTGAACAAGTAGTTAACCTGGCAATATTTACGACATTTGCCTTAATCAAAATACAACTCGGGTTTTAGGGTATATTTTGCGGTACACACAAAAATGCAAGTGAAACATCTTGCTGAGGTATTGTGTTGTAATTCTTGTGATGTATTTCATAATTCCAGTATATGTTATGTTTAAATAGTAACTGCTTTATTTTCGGTGAGTTTTCTTTCACCTATCTCCATTTAGGCAATTCCATTCACAATGCCACCTGTTGGCCATATAGTACTGCCTGTACTAAGAAAATAGGGAAATCCGTGGCTCCGCCGTACGTGGTAGCAGTCCGTTTGCAATATAGGTGCAGATCAGTTAAACATAATTGTAAATATTATTAACTGGCCAATAAAATAACATAATCATAGGCTCATATTTGGAGATAAATCCTCACGTCCTTGTGTCCAATACGTAAACAGAGTCCTCTGTAACTCAGTAGTTAGTGCTGTGGTCTTACACCTTCACTTATTGTGTGTTTGATTCCTGTCCTGACTGTGTACCCAAATTCCTGTGTGGGTTTCTTTTGGCTTCTGGAATTTTTCCCACTTTCCAGGGTTGTTTGGTGTAGGTGGCTGGATATCTTAAAATGTCCCTGTTTGTGAGTGTGACCTGTGATAATCTGGCATCTTCTCCCTGGAATACCTCCTGTGATAGGCTCCAGCCTAACAGTATCCCTGCAATGGATAAGCATATCTAGAATTTTTTTTGATAGTTTTGCATTTAATGGTTTGAAACTATTGGTTAAGATGTATAACCTTATACTTGAAAGATTTGAACATGAATGAATAGAAAAAAAATATCAGAAATTATTGTAGATGTTTAAAGTACTTCTGTTATTACTTAAGCACAATGACGCACCCCTATTTTATAGTTTTATAGGTTGTACAGAGCTAACTCATAAAAAGTGTATTGTACATAAGAATGATGAAACATTTCCTTTAAGAAACATTACATGTTACTATTAAGAATGCAGTCTGCAGTGTGAACAATAATCTGAGGTATGTGGTTCCAAACACCCCTGAAAGACTCGCCTGTTCAGCTACTGCGTTACGTCAAGGTAGTGTGTTTTGTAAATGGTTGTGCTGCTGGTATTGGCCCCTGTCTTGTATTATCAATGTGTTCTTGTGTCTCACTCCCCCCTGCCCCCCTCCCTTACCAAACAGCTGCGTGCTCTCCCTCCGCATAAACTGCTAGCATGGCACAATTAGCCCCGCTGATGAGTGCTTCTTGCAGGTTGTACAGGTTGAGCCTGACACCCCAAAGCAGACCGACATGGTATTCATGACATCATGGTATGGCTCAGATATGACACCCATGTGTGTTTCCATTACCATTTATGGTTTTAATAATCAAAGAGACTGAGGACTGGCACATCTGTCCACTTAGAATGTCCACTTCAAACTAAACCCACACATCCAACTTAAAACTGTTTTATTTCCATGGGGTCATAGAGAGCTGACATTATTACCCTTTTATTAAAATAACATATAATGCCTTTCTGAAAGTAAAAGGACTAGATGTTATGGTTCATCCCAATTTTGCACTTGTGTTAGTGTTATTGTTATTGTTCCACAATCAATGTATTTGACATAGTTAATATATATTGGCTGTGATATTTATCAGGGTCAGATTTTGACACAGGACTTAGGTCACTGTCATCACTGCATGTTAATGAAAAGTAGGCATATCACACTGGGACTGATTTCAGCCAGTCTGTTTGTCTAAATGCTTGCATGACAAGTTTTTTTTTTTTAAGCATGTGTTAAATTCTTGCAAAGAGGAAGTGAACATAGTGCTAGAGAGGAACGACTACAGGGAATTAAATCTACAGTAGCAAGAACAAATAATATTACAATAGCTTAAATAGCACTGATAGGATTATCTGGAACCATTTCCCTCCAAAAATACTAATCAGTATCTATGTATCTGATGCCTTTATCCAAATTAGCAAAGAACTGAGAAAGTAGGGTCAGACTCTGTGAGCCATTGGGGTCGCTCAAGTGCCCAACAAGGAAATAACTATGCCAACCAGTAGATTTGAACCAGCAACCTGCTGATCATGGGCACAGAGCCCAGCCCTGCTGAGCCACATACTGCCCCAAAGATACATAATTATTTCTTGGTAGCACGTATTACATTATTGTCCCACTGTGCACTAAAACAATTAAACTAACCATAGACTGATTTGCATTACACTTATTTCACGCTTTTATTCAAACCCACATACAAAAGAGGGAAAGCTTACGATTGATATGTGCTCGCGCTGGAATTTTAACCCACGACCGTTGCATTATTAGCATAATCCTCTAATTGTAGAGCTACAGTAGCTCAGAGTTGATTAACAAATCAAAGAGTTCAGCACTGAACCGGTACTGCGGTGCCGCGTTTTAGAAAGCTATTCGGTATTACTATTCACATTATTATAAACAGAGCTAACGCGATTATCCAGAGTAAATCCAAATTATTAAATATAGTGTAGAATCCTGCCTGGTCCCAAGAGGGTAAACAAATAGGCTACGTTAACATCAGTAAACTAGCAGCTGTACCTACAGGTTATTATGTTGCGTTGTATTTTAAGCAGTTAGATAATCAAGAATAATTCGTTGCGCGGGAAGTAAGTTTTTATTTATTTTTTGTTTATTGAGCACATGAAAGGAAGAAAGCAGCTTGCGATTACTCTTTACAGTGGAGAGTAATGATGACGATTTGATCGCGGCAGAAATACGTTTTACGGTTTTGCGTGTTTTTCAATTCGTCGGCAGAGCGCCCTCTCAAAATCCATATAACGAATCGCATCCATACCGATCGCCCTCTCCCCACGGAGAACCCAATACTCCTGTACGTTACGGTAGGCTCTTATGTATTTCCTGTACGTTTAATGTTTCGGTGTTGTGATTATTATCTTGTGATCTCTATCCATAGTCCTTAATGTCCTTTACTCATCAAAAGAGTTTCTGATTTCAAGTATGTTTTACTTTCAGTGACATTATTCAGTGACGTAAGTGCATCATTTACCTTAATAATGTTTTTTTCCTTCATTGGTATCATTGTAGCACAACTATTTTGATACTTAAATTGGTATCGATATCGGAGTCATAATTTTGGTATTGTGACAACACTGGTGAGATCATGGACAAATAAGGATTCATCGGGTGGTGGAGGTGTCTGAATGGAGGCTGCTGCCCTGGGCATCCGCTGACATCCCACCCTGTGCAATGACGTTGAGAAAAGCATTTGTTCCAACACATTCTCCATTTTCTCGCATTTACCCAGCATTCTAACCATATTCTCACATTCACTCTGCAATCTCCTGATCACTTCTCTACACTTACTCTTACCCTGCAAGAAGAGTGTTTACCATGAAGTTTTCAAAAGAAGATATTTTCATTTTAAAAGTCTTTCATATCATGCTTTAAATTTTTGATTTGTTATTATTGTCATTTTGTAGTAAAATTTAAAAACCGTTTCTTTCACACATTTCATGATCTGTACGAGTTCTAGGAAGGCCTTCCTTCCAGGACACCCCCAACAGCAACCTTCAGTGTGCAGCTGCATTTCTGTTTCACTGACAGTGTGCCGTGGTTCCATTGGCAGGTGCTGTCACACAATCTGTGCACCGTGATGAAGATCCCACATGACCCTGTGGCACTGGAGGATCACTTTAGGGATGACGATGAGGGACCCGTCTCCAACCAGGGATACATGCCCTACCTGAATAAGTTTATCCTGGATAAGGCAAGCCTCCCCTCTCTGTAGCTGCCCATAGCCCCACTGCAGAGTGCTTACTCTAAGAACTCATAGGAGGTTCCACCTCTTACATAAGACCACAAACTGAATAGATCTCATCATCCTTTGCAGGGAGATGTGGCAGGTCAAGTATGCAGACTTGCATGCAAAGGACCTGGCCTTCGAATGCACGCAGCTGCATGTAGCACGATATGAAAACTCAGTGCATCAGATTGTAACACGATAGTTTCACAATGTGGCGTTAACTTCCCATTAGGCATGTGGCTTGGCTGGTGGTTGTAGAGCTTGCAGACGCTGACCACAGGAATGCCAGCACTGCACAATCTATTTTTGTTCTTTAAGGACCGGTGATAGGTCACAATTCACAGCAGGATTCAGGAGCAGCACAGCAAGGAAGCCTAACGGGTCCCCCAGCCGGGAGATCAGTATTATGGCAGCAGCTGAAATACCGTTGACTCTAAAGTGTCTCTGTCCCTGCCATTGAGTCTAAGCTGAGAGGAAGTGGACAGTTATGGAGTAGGCACGCTTCTTACTGATGTCATAGCAGCAGGTTTGGCAGCTTTAAAATATCCTCATGGCTGATCTGCTCAGTCCTGTGGTAGATACTGTGCGTCGTGCATAGCGAGGGAGTCCAGCGAACAGGAAGCTGGTCACGGGCCCATGATGTCTGCAGAGCTACAAACAAAGGCTTAAAAGATTGCGGGAAGGCATTATTAAATACAGCTAAGCAAAATTTTTATTCCTCTTCCTTAAGGTTTAGAACTGGGGTTTCCAACCTTTCTTAAGTCAGGGAATTGTTATTCTTTCCCTTTTGGGAGGTTATTATGGCTTGTTGCTGCATGATACATTCTCTCTTTGGTATAACTGCCCTATTTATGTTCGTTATTACAGAAGTAGCATTTTGCACAGCAGGGTGTGCTGACAGAGTCTGTATGAAACACTGGGTTGGCAACTCTCACGCATCTGATGTAACACGCTTTCAGACTCACACTTGCGCAAGAAATCTTACGGCAAATCTATACTATTCCATTATAAACCTAAAATTAGCTACATCTAAAGCGTTGGGGTAGTTAGCAAACCCTACAGACTATTTACAAGGTAATAAACTGTTACATACATGCAAATGCATGTGCCTGTGTGTGCAGATTTGTCTCAAATTGAAAATCTCACTCCAGCCAGCTGACCAAAGTTGGCAGCCCTGGAAACGGCTTCACCCGTGGCTCTCATGAATGCAAATCGATATTTCTTTAGTAGCAAAGGGAGCTGCTTGGCCTTTAACAAGGCTGCCATTGTTGATGCCTGAAAGGCAGTAGAACATCCCCAGTTATGGCAGAGGGAGGGAATTATACTGAGAATGACTTAATCACTAAAAGCCAAAAAAACAAAAATGACAAAACTTTAGTTACTGTGGTCTCCTCCTGTCCTGTGTCAGAATTAATGAGGAGGAGTACTTTTTTAATGACTAACTTTTCATTAATTGTCACATCATATATTGGCCTAGAAGCACCAAGAATCTAAACAGAAATATGTGATTTCTTGTTTGTCGTTGTTTTAAAAGCATTACACGGAGATCCTCCATTGGCATTTGTCTGTAAACCATGTAACACTTTAGCTGTATTTGAACTGATATCAAATCTTCCTGAGACCATGTGGTTGCCTCAACCTCTGCTCTCTCTGAATTGTTGGAAGGCAGGTGTGTGCCTCTTTGATAGGCCTATGAGAAGCTTGTGTGTCCCTGAAACTGAAACCCCCAGCCTGCACTCCCTCAAACGATGACTGCATAGCTGAGACTGTCAGATGTACGATTTGGGCACTCAGGAAAAGATTCACCCAGTCTGCATCCGCTGGTTATTTTATATGTAACAATAATAATAATTGATACTTTATTGATCTTTACGCCTCCTTCAACTTGCTCTTTGTAGAGTAAACTGTCCGCGAAGGACAGCCACCCGTAGTGGCGGCCAGGGAGCTGGGGGTTAAGGGCCTTGCTCAAGGACACACTGAGTTTGAACCGGTGACCTTATGATTACAGACACACAGGCTTAGCCCACTGAGCCACACGCTGCCCCCAACAGGCCACTGGCTTAATGTATGCTGGCCACAAAAGCTGAGTAGGGGGTGAAGACTAGCACCCCTTCCTCTGATTTCTGTGCCCACTTGTCACCCTCTGTGACAGAGACGTCATCCAGCGATGTGAGGTGCTGGTGTAATGATGTCCTGCATCATTAAGCTTCACTGGGTTTGTCTGTCTGTCATTATTTACTGGCTAGCCGGACAACGTATTTGTTACTTAGCATAAAGCTGGGCCTTCACAGGGAAGTCGCTAGCAGGTTTTACGGTGGTTTAACTTGCTTCAGAGTCATTTAGTGAAGTACAGGATGAGGACGTTTCCCTTTTCTCAGTACATCTGACAGTTGGAGGCTGTTCCCTGTCTTTGCTGAGTGTAATTTTAAATGGAAAAGAACATTTGTTATTCAGTGCATTCAGACCTTTTAGTTGGAATATGTCCTTTCAGCACTATATTCTGCTACAGACCAGAGGACGATCCTGTTTTATGTTTGTTATTTATCACAAAATGTTGGTGTTATACTTTAATGTGTGAGCTGCATTTACAAAATCATATTTATGCATTATTTTAAGGTGATAGATATAGATACTGTGGTCTGTAACATCAGTGTTTACTGGAAATAGGGGCACATCCATTGTAATAAGTCATATTAACCCACAAATAGCATTCAAACAAGCATCATACATCAACATGACTTTCAGGGAGCGTAGTACACATATAATTACATAAGCATATCAAATGGTTTGTATAAATAGTTGCTATGTCTCAGTTATAAACGTCTATTCTTTCCAAGTATTCTTCCTCCTGCCTGTGGGTTTATCAAGTATTTTATGCCGTCACTGCATTAAGAGAACTTATGCAATGATTTAATGACGACCAAATCTAATGTAAACTGCTTTTGTGTGCAGGTTCAAGACAACTTTGAACGTATCGATTTCAACAGGATGTGCTGGACCCTATGTGCACGTAAAAATCTGGACAGGAATAACCTGCTAATTAGTGATGATGATGCCTTCAAGGTCTGGTGCATTTTCAATTTCCTGTCGGAAGACAAATACCCGCTGGTCATTGTCTCTGAAGAGGTGGGTCTGACGGTGTTGATCAACTCAACACTTTGTGTCCTCCTTCTCTCAGCTGTGTGTATCACTGTGTATCATGACACAGTTTTATGATGCAGACATTCCTCACTTAACGACCAAGTGCCGTTCCTAAGACTTCATTAAGCGAAATGGTCGATAAGTGAGGAGCCGACTCTTACCGATTACTCTACTGGTAGTGGGTTTGTGTCAGCAATCTTTAGAATTGATTTTCATCAATTTGGTGTTTGTGAGAAAAGCGACAGCTCAGTGGCTACAATATCTTTTAGAAAATTAGATATTGTGGATATACAAGGTAAAAACACTGGTGGTTTGGCGGTACTTTGAATCCAGCATGCGACTGACTGGTGCTAAGTACTGTAAACTGTGTCGAAAACTTCTGTAGACTAAAAGTGGAACTACTTCAAACTTATTTCACCCCTTGAAGCACTGCCATCCCATAGAACATACAGAACGCAAGTGCTTACAGTTACAGACACCAGTAACGACAAACCCAGCAGCAAACCGTACTGGTAGCCTTTTCTACTGTTACGTTGTACGACAAAAATTTATTAAAATTAGATTCCAGTTTGCAGTCCACTCAATTTGTGGTCATTTTCATGTTCTGAATCCATTTAAGGGGAATCCTAAGGGAATTTTACGCAATGATAGAACCGTGAAGTACAGAAATAATTATCAACATTGACTGAAATGAAGAAGATGATTGTGATACAATATTTTGCCTTATAGCCCAGTGCTAGAGGGGACTGTCCCTGTTTGTCTTGCTTTATGCCAGCTGTCCCTTATTCTGTATGTCTGCTCTGGTTTTCAGAACAAAAGCTTAGTGCTTTTTAGCTTATTTTACCTAGATTACTAATTAGAGGACTGACACACCTGGGTTTGTACAGCTGACCTACAGGTTATCCCAAAAACCTGCATACACACCGGCCCTTTGCGGATAAGATTGGCCACCGCTGCCCTAGAGAAATACAGGCTACTTCCTTGTTTCTTGAGATTTCATGTTTCTGATTCCTACGGCCAAGGTAGCATTACAGAGAATGTGATTGCGTGACTTAATAACTCACAACTTCAAAAGGTTATGCTGTTATTAACACGTGTTATATCCTGAATATATATTTGGTGATCAAATGAACTAAACAATATGATACTGGAATACTTCCTAAAGGCACCCTGCCCTGGGTAGTGCTTTGTCCCCTGCTTTAATCATCATAGTTCCCTTTGTATGTAAGCCATGCTGAGCAGTGCATACAGAACAGGAAGTGCATTTTTTCCTCAGTATTGTGACACAGTTAAGTGTACTGAGGTTACATTTTATATATCAACAGAACAAAAGCTGTTGTGTGCCTAGGGGTTACTGGAAAGTATCTATTGCTGTATTGTAGGTGCTTTCCTTTATGTGGCTCACTTTTTAATTATTAATGGTTAGTCATTAGGTAGCTGTGTTTTTCTAGATTGAATACTTCCTGCGGAAACTCACAGAGGCCATGGGGGGCGGCTGGATTGAAGAGAAATTCGAGGACTATAAGCTGCAGTTCAACCAGGAGCAGCAGAGCCTGAGCGTGTGGGAGCTGATCAGCCTTGTTGGAAAGGGCAGTTTCAGCAAGGGCATGGACCCCCAGACTCTCAGCATGGCCATCACCGAGGTCTTCCAGGAGCTCATCCTGGACATGCTCAAACAAGTGAGACTTTCCCTACTCATACCCCAATCATGAGAATGACTAAATGACACATCAGGGCTCTTCCATTCATGCAGCGTCAAAAAGACCGTAATGTAGTACCCTATCACACACCCAAACAAGCACATTTAGAAAACGCAGTTCCAGGAAACACACATGAACATATTAAAAACAAATGTGAATCAAACCCTCCAATCCTGAACCAGTGAATAAATGACAATATAAATCTGAACCTCAAGGTTCCCCTGTGGTCTGTACTACGAAGCGGGGTTACTGGCTTATCGGGGTAACTTGTCGGATTTAAGGTAGTCTGGGCAAGGTGTAAGTGAACGAATATGAAGTCCATTTAAACTGTGGTACCTTAAATCCGACAAGTTACCCCAATAAGCTAGTATTCCCACTTCGTAGTACAGGCCACTGGATTTGTCGTGGTGTCATACTGTGATTGTAACGGTCTGTTGAATATTGAATGGCTTTATAGTCATACCCCCATCTTAGTCCTTCTTAACACATTGAAATCCCACTAAAAGCTGTGTAAAATTATCATGCTTTTGTCATGTCTGTTTGCGCTAATATAAAGTGGGGAAAATAAGTATTGAATGTGTCAACATTTATATAAGTAAATAAATTTCCAATGAGGCTATTTACATCAATTTTTCACAGGACATTAGAATTAACTCAAGAAATCCACAACTGTAAAGAATTCACAAATTAAAACCCACAAATAAAGTTATGTGTAATAAAGTGGAATGACAGGAAAAAAGTATTGAACATGCTAACTAGTGGAGAAGCCTTTGTTTGTAATGACAGCTTCAAGACGCTTCCTGTATGAAGAGAATTTTGACCCATTCTTCTAAACAGATTGTCTTTAAATCTCGAAGAATCGGGTTGGGGGCATTCTAACAACTTGAGTTTCTTTCTCTGAAACCAGCTGAGAGTTTCTTTTGTATGTTTTGGATCATTGTCCTGCTGGAAGGTCCAGCCACATCTCATCCTTATCACCCTAGTGGATGGTAGCAGATTCATTTCAAGAATCTCTGGGTACATGGCCCCATTCATAGATCCTTCAATTATACAAAGTTTGCCAGTACCATGAGATGCCAACCAGCCCCACATCATGATGCTTCCTCTCCCAAGCGTCGCTGTCGGTACAGTGTTTTTTGGGTGATGTGCAGTGTTTTTTGGGTGATGTGCAGTGCCATTTCTTCTCCAAATACAGTGTGTAGTATGACAGCCAGAAACTTCAATTTTGGTCTCGTCTGACTAGATTACATTCTCCCAGTATTTCATAGGCTTGTCCAAATGTTGGGTAGCAAACTTTAAATGAGCTTCGACATGCCTTTTCTTCAGTAATGGAGTCTTATGAGGTGAGTGCACATATAGAGGCCATGCCGGCAGAGTGCACTGCCTATTCTTTTCTCTGTAACAATTGTACCTGCTGCCTCCAAGTCTTTCTGGAGCTTTTTCCGAGTGGCCCTTGACTCTTAGGCTACTCTTCTGATTATCCTTTTGACTCCCTGGCGAGGAGCTACTATGTGTGACTGTGACCGGTTGATGGTGGAGTGATGTTCCTTCCCCTTGTGGATAATGGCCCCAGTGGCGCTTACTGTTTCAGAAGTTTTGAAATATGTCTGTAATCAGTTCCCTTGATATGTTCTGCAACAATCAGGTTGCAGAGCTCTTTGCTTTTACCCATCATGAGATTTTTCTTGTGGGACATCTTGGTGGTAAAAAACGTTTTTATAGCCCCTCAATATGTACTAACCCATCTGATATTACTTTGCACAGATAGGAGGTAGAATTACTTTCTAACTACTTATGGATTTCATTTGGTTCCTTGTCTTTCCTTAGCTTGGTGTGCTGCTTTTTCTTAGTGTGTTCAATATGTTTTCCCTTTGTCATTCCACTTTATCACACATAACGTTCAACATTATTTATGGACTTCAACGTTATTTATGGATTTCTCGAGTTAATACGAATGTCTGATGAAAATTTCATATGAATATGTTTACAATTACATTTACAAAAAATGTTGAAATGTTCGATACTTAAATCCCCCACTGCACTGTGATATCGGGTGAAGAATGGGGTCCAGCCCAATGACACCCTGATGGTAAGACTGTCCTCTTTATGCAGGGCTACATGATGAAAAAGGGCCACAGAAGGAAAAACTGGACTGAGCGGTGGTTCTTGCTACGGCTCAACTCCATCTCGTACTATGCGAGTGAAGACCTCACAGAGAAGAAAGGTGACATTGTGCTGGATGGAGACTGCTGTGTTGAGGTAATAGCTGATTTGCGTAAACAGGACAAAGCTTGACCTCCGTTTCTGGCTCAGAATGCATCATTGACTGTGTTTCTTAAAGAAAACAATAATGACCTACTCATTGTTTTACATACTCTATCCATCCATTCATCCATCCATGTTTTACATACTGTTTACCTAATCTTGGACAGCAGGTTGATATGTTAGGGATTTTAATGAAAAAGTATTCTGTATATCTGTTGGCTACACATATTATTTCTTGAATGCCATAAAGACATTGCATCTTACTTATAATTAAGAATGAAGTCAGTTCCTTATTAGGTCATCACAAGTGACTTAATTGATATAACAGTGTTTTAAGATCAATCCGTCTATCTTCCACCGTATATAGAGTATGTAGAGCAGTGATGGCACAAGGTGCATACATCAAGATTTTATCTAAACATAAAAAAACCGGGAATGTCACCAAAAAGGCTCTTATGTTTTCCTTAGCAAATGTGAACTGTGACTGCAAAATTGTGCCGTCTTTGCAGTCTTTGCCAGACAAGGAGGGAAAGAAGTGCCTCTTCATCATCAAATGTTCTGATAAAAGCTTTGAGATTAGTGCGTCTGATAAGAAGAAGAAACAAGAATGGATTCAAGGTAAGAACTAGCAGAGGATTAACTCGACCAACAATCTTAAACTGATGTCGAAACCTTTGAAGTGTCTTGATGTGTCAAGAATAATTGCTGAAATTTCAACCGCATGCAAAGTGCTACTATGATTCTAAATCCAGCCTGTAGCTCACTGACAGATTTGTGTTAGATTGTGAGAATACTGCACATTGCCTGCATGTATTGTGATTGTGACATCCTCTTTCCTGATGTGCCCATAACACACAGAATACACTCCAAAAAAACATGGACCAAACAAAAACTGCAAAACATTAAGCTTTTAATGGTCTCAGCAGCAATGATTGGTCAGGATTTTGGCAAGAATTATACAAATAGATAAATTAACTTAGCTTTTCCCTTTGATTTCCTTAAATGTCTAAGTGTTGTGGGTAAACTTGCAGACAGCCCCTTTCAGAAAGAAGAATCAACATAGTTCCACTCAATGTCAATGGCTTCAAACAGTTAATCAGTTGAAAAATCTTTCCTGGTTAATTTCTGCTTATTGTGAGACCAGATATTCTCTATATTGTTAGACTCTGGGCAATTTTGAATTTGGCCCATTTTTATGGCACATGATTGTAGTAGTTTACGAACCGTACAGCGCAGTTGTTTCATATTCCTCTTTATATTCTGATTTGAGACAGTGTCTGGGAGGAGCTAATCCACATCACATAGTGTGTAGGGGGTTATGGGTAGGAGGGGGGCCGGCATAGCACAGATGCAGTCACACTCAAACCCATGTGGGTGTTACTTGGTCATGACTGCACCCCAGCTAAGCCCCGGCTCTGGCTCATGCCTCGCGGTCATGTGTGAAGGCTCTTACGGAGGCTCTCCTGTCATCATCTGCTTCCCTCAGCCATCCAGACCTCCATCAACCTGCTGCGGCTGGGTCAGCCGGCACCACACACCGAAGCCCGACAGAAGCGCAAGGAGCTGCGGCAGAAGCTGCAGGCAGAGCAGGAGGAGCTGCAGAAAAGGATGAAGGAGCTGCAAACCGCCAACGAGAACAAGCAGTGGGAGCTGGAGAGCATGAGGAAGGTACAGACTGCGGTGCTGGTTGACCTTCCTGCAGGAGTGGGCTATACTGTGGGAGCTGGAGAGCATGAGGAAGGTACAGACTGCAGTGCTGGCTGACCTTCCTGCAGGAGTGGGCTATACAGTGGCAGCAGGGGCTATATGTGGGGTTCCGAAAATTAATTACTGTAGACGGTCAGTTACCAAGAGGGGAAGGGTCAAATTCAGTCAATAAATTGTTCAGACAAGACAAAGGCAAGACTTTTTCCAGAAAAATAAATTTGACAGAAAAATAAATTCCAGAAATTAATGGTTTATAAGTGTCAAGCTGCCCAGTTGGTGACTCATCTCTCTTTGTCCCAGTACGCATCCCCATAGAACTCTCTTCCAGTCTGCCTCTAGCATTCTCGCTGATCACATTCGGTACTGTTACTGCAAGTGTCTGTGTCACAAAAAGCTATAAAAAGCATGGTTTTTATTGCTCCATCAGCGCTAGATACATGATACTTTTCATTGCTCTATCATCTCTTGAGAATTAGGCTAAAACTTGAGAATCCCTTTCATTTGAGAGAAAGAGTACAGTAAAGTATAGTGTACTTTATCAATTAACCTTTACCATAACTTGATGGGCCGAATGGCCTCCTCTCGTTTGTAAATTTCTTATGTTCTTATGTTCTTATGTGTGCACACGAATATCACGTTGTATATGGGGTCCGATAGAGGGCTACTACTGTATGTTATTCTGATGTCAGAATATAAATACAGCTGTCATAAATTTCATAAGTTGAAGAACTTCACAGAAACAGCACTGGGACTAGATGTTCTATCAAGCACACGTGCAGCTTCCAAACTAATTAAAAATGGTGCTGGACAAAAATTTAAATGATCTGTTTTTAAGCTTCATATTTTGAGCTGCCTGAATTAGAGATTTACTTTATAAGGGTGTTTTTTTTATTTTTGAAAGTCGTGGAATGTCCAGTTATTCTGGTTTGTTTAGTCACATCATTATTTTTGGTATTACTAATATAATTTATTACAAAATGAGTAATGTCCTTTGGTAAAATAATGCTTGGATTGAAACTTAATAAGTCTTCAGAAAATACTAGTCATTAGTATTAAAGAAAGACCAGATATCATGAGTCAGAGTCAAGCAAAAATATATCAGTTGCTGACCATGCAGTCATCAGCATGACACATATCCTTGCAGCACAACAACAGTGGTTTTATCTAGTCTGTCGTGTTGTATGAAACAAGTCCCTGACACGATGGGATGTTCACTGCATTCCTTCATGCAGAGGTCATTCAGCATTGTGGCTTTATGGACGGCCTCTTTCAGTTTGCATGGTCTGTCTCTGTTTGTGTGGGTTTGCCCTGTTTTCTGCTTGAATGCAGTGAGTAATGGCACTTATCTGTGATTTGACATGTCCGTGACCCTATAAAACAGGCGGCTCGGTCCCCCCAGGGTAAAACAATTGCCTCTCTCTGGAGAGGTGGCGTTTGCACGTTCTCCCTGTCCCTGAAGGGTTTCTTCCAGGTATTCGGGTTTCTCCCTACAGTCCAAAACCATGCTAAGCTGAATTGGAGTTGCCAAACTGTCCGAATGTCTGTATGAATGGTGATCGTGCCCTGCGATGGGTTGGTGCCCCATCCTGTGTTATTCCCTGCCTCGTGCTGATTGTTTCTGGGATAGGCTCCGGAACGCAGTGAGTCCATGACCCTACATAGGACAAGTGAGTATGGAAAATGAATGAATGAATGACACAATTAAATTCAATCCGAAAGAGAATGGAGCCAATGAGCTTTATGCCCGTTTACGTATGGCAGTGTGTAAATCAAGCTTTATGTGTGTAAATCATCCAACATAAAACAGTTGTAGTGTGCTCATGGTTACTCATGTTACAGGTCTTCTTTGTCCTAACTAACAAAGGCCTAACTATAGAAATGTTCCCACTTTTTTGAAAGGCTTAGTTTTTCAGATCACTGTTTCAGAGGCAGGACAATTTACTATCTTTAAACGTCCCTTGATATCTTATCCTTGGTTCTGTATGCCTCAGAAATTTCTGTAGATAATGTCTTTTGGTTTCTCAAGGACATTTTTGGCCAAAAACCGTCTAATCTCATCCTGTTTATTTTTATTCAACTGATTACTCAAAGCTATGAAATTGAGTGGAAAAAATATTCACAATAATACTTTTCACAAAAGTATTTTTCTATTCAACAATGAAAGTCATTGCTACTTGTGTGTAATGGCTTTTTTGTCATGTTTGTGCTGTGCTAATGTTAGCCTATTGCTACGCCTGTTGGTTTGTTTTTGGTATAGAAAATCATCTAAATGACCTATCGTTGTTGTAATTTATTATCCCTTGGTTGCTATGCTTGTTACTTATTTCTGTCTCACTTGCATATCACTGTAGACAAAACATTCTGCAGAAAATGAGTGATGTTTTATTTGGCTTGTCTAAACTTAAGCATATCTATAGATGTCGACATGAATGTTTTGACCTTGCTGATGCCACACGCAATTTATTGTTAATGAGAGAACAGCTGAATTGGGGGTGGGCATTTGGTTTTTCTGTCACGAGCATGTCGGTTTCACTTCTCCAATGTGGGGAACTATAACACAGCTACACATTTAACCTTTGAGCCTTTTAAACCTGCATTTGGAAGAGCAAATCTTTAACCTGTGTAGTAACTGAATAGCGGGGTCTGACTGAAAACTCTCAAATACAAAATATGAAGTCTTTAGTATGAAGCCACATAAGAAGGGAAAATAACCAAGCTTAGCTTAGAGGGAGTTTTGATTGCTGTGTAGGAAATGTTTTATGAAATGACTTATTTACTCAATTCACTTTTTGTTCTTTTATCAGTTCATACATTCTAGATTTTATTATTGAAGCATGACTTTAGGACAGGTTTGGTTAAAAACCTTAATTTTTCGCATATTTTACTACTTCTAAGATTATTGTTATCTTAGATCTGAATAGGTAATCTAATGCAGTTTGCCATAATTTAGAGGTTTTGCCAGTTATGTCCAAAGTCTTTAAACTTTTGTATTTTGCAGGCACAGATTGTATTTAGTAGCTATTGATGTGCAGTTGGTAAAACAAGCGTCCTGGTTTCTTCATATCAAGCCGTGAGAGTATTGTGAAAGTTTTGACCCTAAGGCTGAAGGCTCGTTGATATAAATGGATAAATGTGATTTTGTTCCTCAGAAACTGAAGGAAGCGGCAGCCCATGCGGAAGAGGAGGAGCAGCGGCGTCTGCAGACGCAGAAGGAGCTGCAGGAGAGCTACAGAATGGAGCTGGACAGGGAGAAAATGGTACTGCGCATGAATGTGTTCCCCAGGAACTGTGCGATGCTGCATTAGCAATTAGCAATAACTTTCATCAAAACATTATGCTGTTTTTAATTTGTCTTTTTGCTCTTTGAAAAGACTTAAAATTCTGTAGGATTTTCCTTTGCTTTTGTCGATAAAGGGAACAGCTTAAAGTAAATTCAATGTGAAATCCACAGAATGTGGAATCTTCTTCAAGTTGTTTTGCATCACCTCCTCTCTTCATGTTAAGTTAGTCAGACCTATTTATTGTATTTCCTCAAATAAAAGCGGGGATTCAGATAAAAGGCAGGTCTGACAATAAAGGCCCTGGCCACTATTTGAGGAAATACCGTACTTCTTTAATTTACAGTTCAGGTAAAAAAAGAGCAGACATGCACCTGTTGTGCCATTGCAGGAACTCTGCTCACTGTCATTTGTGGGAGGAAGTAACGTTCAGAAATTTCCCAGGTGCGTCAGCAGATGGAGGAACAAGTGGCCCAGAAGTCAAGTGAGTTGGAGCAGTATCTGCAACGTGTGAAGGAGCTAGAGTACATGTATCACTGCATGGAGGAGGCGCTGGAGGACGAACGGCAGGCCCGGCAGGACGCGGAGACGGTGCGCAAACTGCAGGCCAGGTCAGAGCACGTGCGGCAGGCACCATCGCATGTATAATGCAAGCCCATTCATATTCATGGCATGGTGCCTCTCCTTTATACACTCATATGTAACACAGACTCGTCCCTAATGGTAACCCTAAGCCACATCAGGGTGATACTGCCTTCTGTTCATACACTTAAATACTCATAAACTCTAACCGTAATGCTGAGCCTGATGAGCCACATTAATGTCATACAAACCCATCTTCATTCACTCACAGTCAAGAATCGGGAAACCTGCTGACTGTCGATAAGAATAGTCTAAAAGCCAATATTCATCTGGCTTAGTTTGGATATTTCTTGCAATCATTACAGTAATCAGAATCAGAATCCTTTTTATTAGCCAAGTATGTTTCCATACAAGGAATTTGCCTTAACTGGCTAATTGTAGGAAAATGATCCTGCCGCAGTACATACAGATTGAAGACATGCATTTTATTTTGTTTTAGCAGAAATCGTAATAGGCTCCCATCAAAGTCAGTGGTCAGGCCAGGATCAGGCTCCACCTGAAACAGAAAGAGGGTGTTTTCTCTACCAGAAAATGTCCTTCTAATGCTGTGGTTCCCAAACTTTCTCTGCAGGGCCCCCCTTTTCTAGATAGGAACATTATTGAGCCCCCCCCATTCAAACTACATAGGTTCAGATTCAAACTTTATTTGAAATACAACTCCCTTTTCTAATTGAGCGAAACAAATACAATTACAAAATACAAATGGTGCAATTTCACCACTGTGGGAGAAAAAAGAGCAATCAATTAAAAATTAAAGTGCATCATAAGTTTGAAATTATGCAAATGCAGATTTAACGTTCCTGTTAATATTCATTGGCGTACACAAATTAAAGTTTTTTTACGGTTACCGCATTTTGTTTTTAATGATAGCCGCAGGTTTCAGCCTATACTATAGCACAAAGCGACACTAAATCATACCCATTAATTGATGGTCTCCCTGCACTTCATGTAGAAATTTTAAACCTCATTTTTCATGATATGGTTAGATTTTTTTGTCCGGCGCTTCAAAAAGTCGTCACGCATCACCATGTCACATGGTACAAAAACCTTGCAAGAGCAAGACGACTTAAGACAGATCGTACAGCACCTCTCAGCCGGCTGAACAAACTGGAACTGCCTCTGTGACGACACAACTTTGCCCTTATTAGCTGAAGAATGTGACGTTGGCATGACGTTGTTATCCCAGGAAGTTCCGATGCGTTATCTGCTATTTCTCCCGAATATCACGTAAAGCAGTGAGAACTGGTTTTCAGTTAATTTACCTGGTAAAATAAAGTTTAAATAAATGACATAAATGCTCTAATAGTACACGTAAGGTAGTGGTTTATATATTGTTAGTTACTGTAATGTTGCACTGCTTTATTTGTTTAATCGTCCAGTCTGTGAAGAGATTATTTTGCCCCTCTGGCTATTCCATTGGTGTGCCCCCCCCCCCCGCAATACCTCTGTCCCCCTCTAGGGGGGGCGCGCCTCCCAGTTTGGGAACCACTGTTCTAATGTGACTAACCAGTGTTCCCGTGCTTGTGTGTCACATATCCCCAGGCTGCTGGACGAGGAGGTGTCCAAGAGGGCAGAACTGGAGCAGATCCGTCTGCAACAGCAGAAGGCCATCTCCCAGACAGAGGCGGAGAAGCAGCTGCTGGAGAACGAGCGGCTGGCCAAGGAGGAGGCGCTGCAGGAGGCCTTGGAGCAGCTGGAACACTTGCAGAGCGAAAGAGAGGATGCGCTACAGCAGTATGAGGTGAGACAATGCTGTACGTGTCAGTTTTAGTTCCACATCCTATGCCAGGGAAGCCTGATGCCAGTCACACACAAACAAGCATTTGGAAATTTCAGATCCAGAAAATAAAAATCCAGGCCAAGATTTTGTGTCAACCAAGCAATTGAGTATAAAGCAGAAGTGGGGAACCTGTTTCCTGGAGGGCCGGTGTGGGTGTGGGCTTTTGGGATGGCCTCTCAATCAGCCAGTAACAGAGGGCCCCAGGACTGGGGTTGAGAATCACTGTTTTATTATTGACTGATTGAGAGGTCATCCAAAAAGCCTGCAACCACATCGGCCCTCCATGGAACAGGTTCCCCAGCCCTCGTATAAAGAGTCACTCAAACTTATGATGCAAAAACCAGTACTCAACTTGTTGGTTGAAATAAAATTTTGGTCTGTATTTTTACTTTTTGGACCTGAAATTTCCATCTTTGGGAATTGGTCTCTGTGCATTTAGTGCAATAAAAGTGTAATATCCACTAATGTAAAAAGGTAATTTTGTTAAGAAAACTAACATTCATCAACCAAAAAAGCCTCAGTGGCTTCAGATTTTAGATGTAGTCAGTGTCCCAGCCTGGCAAGCGTTTGTGGGGCATAAATTCTGTGTGCGTGGATTATTCTCATCTAGTTTGGAAACAGGGCCATAGTTTTTTAGAGCAATGGATTTTCCTCAAGATTAACAGGAAGTGAACTGACTACTGACCTAAACTAGTCATGTAATTTTATGACTAACTCAATCTACACTGAAACTGAAAGTGCAAATAAAAACAATACATATAAAAATGAATGAAAATTTAGAGGCTGTAAAAACCCAGGTGCTATCAGGGAAACTGCACTTTTTTGCACATTATGTAACTTGCTGCTCTATAACCCAGAATTTTGCCCTGGGATCAATAAAGTTAATCTTATTTTAATCTGTAATGGCTGGATGGCAGAAGTGATCACAATCCTGGAGCTACTGGTAGAAAAGCCTCTTCTGACTTGCCCTCCCGATGTGTCTTTCACATTCCTGCTTCACAGAACCTTCCCACTAAGAACCTCCAAAGGTCTCAACCATCCCATTCATGCGCTAATTTGCTTTTAACAATTTGGAGAAGACTGACACCTAGTGGTTAAGATATCGTAAATGCACTTTTTAAATCATTTGTACAACGAAATCGCACCTAAATTTGATGTTTGCCATTCTTACCATTTGCTGAAAAAGTCAACATTTATTTAATGTTAGTAAGTACATGAATGGGAAACTTAGGGTTAGGTATATGGATCAGTTGGAAGCTTCAGACTGTTCCCAGTCATAAACTGTCATGTAATCTGTTCTTCACCATGTTCCCAAGAATGCACAGGACACTGACAACAAAAAACCACGAGAGTGGGGAACACACCTCTTTGATGAAGTGTCTGATGGGAGAATAGACCCCTCAGTGTGTAAATTCTACCTTATTTTTCAGTACATATCAGAAAAAATATTTCTGCTATTACTGATATTAGTAAGTGAAGCTGTTTAGAAAACCAATGACAAGTTTCAAGGTGTACAAAGTACATTTTGATAAATAAAATATCATCTGGTAGCTGTAATATTATATCCATTTTTTGGTAGCATTCTTTCAGTATCTTTAGTCTCAGGGTTGAATTTACACATACAGTGATGCAAACTCATCAGGGGTAAAAAAAGATGACAAGGATGATGCAACACATCCCCCCCAAGAAGAAAAAACTGTAATTATCAGATTCAACTGCCAGTTTATTTGACATTTTACAGTTGATTTTAACACAAAGATATTAGGGAAAGAAAAATCACCCTAGAATTCATGTAATTTCACTGAAGTAAAAAGTCAAACAGTCAAGAAAGTGCAGAGCCAGGCCCAAAGCTGTATTCAGGACCAGTGCATCCACAATACAAATCAAATTCATTAAACATTACAAAAGCACGATACGCACAACTGACAAAAGCACGATACGCACAACTGACAAAAGCACGATACGCACAACTGACAAATAGAGCGGGAGAGACTGTACTACCAACTCAAACACCTGCTTTCTTAATTAACTTAATTTGCTTAAGTACTTTATCACAAACGCTGCCAACCATCTTTCATTTACTCAGACAACTGTCATAATTGCATTGCTATATAGGTGTGAAATATATATTTTTTTTTGACACTTTAACACTGTTGCTATTTCATCAATTAAATGACAGGGCTAGGATATTATATTTATAAACAGATTTCACAACCACTGCCACAGTACTAACGAAACTATCACAAGGTCACTTCAATTCAGCTTCTGTCATTTTCAGTCCCCTTCATAATTAGGCCACTATAACTCCAGAGTTTGCTCTATTTTGTGCTTCAAACTAAAATGATCTCCTTGAACAAACAATGCTGGATGGTCAATTAAAAACATTGCTGCACTGCCACTGCAAAAGTAGAATTTCTTATCTGGCAGGTGGGCAAGCATGTTCTCGATTCTTATTACACGGCTCTCTGGAATGCTTGATTCTGATTGGTCAGTTGAGACATTTGCAGGTTCATTATTTTCAAATAATAACCGCTCCAAAGTAATAACGCATAGTCACGTGGTACTATATCGTTTCGCGGAAAGATAAAAATGTTATTTTAAAACAAATATGCCAATAAAATGTTTCAAATTCATATTCATGTCCATGTCATTTTCCTTATGTGGCAAGTAGCCGTGTAATAAGCGGGGCTTCGCGTCGGGTCCTGATCACACTGTCGGGGCTTATTTCTGCGATAACTACCGGCTGCCTGTACATTATCCCTTACATATGCACAAGCAGTAAATTTCTTGGAACTGCCCACCATACCCCCACCCAACCCACCCACTTCCCATTGAAAATGAGTTAAACATCAGGTGTCACTATGCTTGTGAGAAGCATGTAGCCACATAATAGGTAACTTTACCACAGCATTGGTTACATTTCCCGTGGTTCTGTCCTTGCAGATCCTGCCATCCCCCCATTTTTTTTAACTCTTCAGATATACAAGAATCACACAAATAAGTAATAACCTTTTTTTGGGTTCAAACAATGAATTTTTTCGAAAGGTGACAAATTTGCACCCCTGACAAACCAACCAATCATGTAATTGCTATTAAAGTATCCTATTACTTTTTCTATGGGAAAGAAAAAAAGTAAAGAAATTCCAGAAGCAGGTTCACACTTCATGATTTTTATAAGTGTTACATAATTGTTACAATAATTATTACTGCTAGTATGTTTAACAGCAATGTTATGACTGCTGTGTGTGAAACAGGAAATGACTAAGAAATTGGAGGATGCTGCCAGTAAGACAAAGAGCTGGAAGGACAAAGTTGCCCAACAGGAGGGACTCATTCGCATCATTCAGCCAGGTGAGGCAGCAGGGAAGTGTGACTGCAGCAGTCACCATACACACGCAGTCCTTCTGAAGGTACTTTCTTCCCTGTCACCTCCCAGGCTCAAAGGGACCATGCAAGATGACAAACTGGGGAGCAGCTGCTTTCACAGAAACAGAACTGACCATGAGAGAAAAGAGCTGGCAAGATCAAAAGAACAGGTCCACCCAGGCCTAGCAAAACGCAGTCCTGTCATCAGTGTGAAAATCTGTCAAGTGCTGATTAGATAATACTGCAACATCGCAGTATTACAGTGTGTCATAAAGATAGTGTAATGCTGGGGTTTTGCGATTGTGCTGAAAGATGATTTGTCTCTGTCATCAGTTCTGGAATGTTATCCTGAACAGCACCAGAAACACAAAGCAAACATGACACAGGGATAAGCCCTAATCAGACAGGTGAATCACAGCAGTTTCTGACCATTACATTCCATAAAATGACTGCTTCTAAATATTTTTACTTTTTCATTTCATTTTTCCTTAGTTTTCACTCTAAATATTTGTTTTTTCTTTTGCCAAAATATTAAAGAAGTTAAAACTACTTTTCATTATCGACAATTTTGTCTCGCCATTGTTAAAATATCCACTGTTTTAAATACATTTCAGAAAGTACATATTTATTGGTTCGGGCACTGGCAACATTACTGTACTCTCTCATACTAAATATATAATGACATCATACTACAAACTGAGAATTATTGTAAGGACCTTTTGTTTTTACTTTAATACTTTGTACCTTATGCATAGTTTATATTGCTATGAATTGTGCTGACTACTGATTTGTGGTTAAACCATTAAAACATACTACTAAATCCATATCATTATAATTGTCAATTTTTCCTCAGATACTTGCAATTCTCTCACAAGTTTCAATCTACATCTAGTATTGATGACTAAGAGAACTTTTAATCGTTACCAGGAGCACAGGTTTGTTTCAACATTGGTTGGAACCATATCCCCAAATAGCGACATGTCCCTATACTCTCCATACCCAAATCTACGACCTTGATGTTTACCAAAATATTATAATAATGTAGATAAGGATATTTTTTAAGTAAGTTTTACAAGCCAACTGACCATTTTAACCATCATTTCGGTGTCTTTCCCTGTGAAAGGAATTTTTTATGCAACCTGGTAAACACATTCTTCACAGACTCTAAGGTATGAAGTGTTCATTAAATCGCATTTTATCGGTCTGTCTGTCTCACTATTATGACATTTCATTTAAATGTTATATCCCCTGTGGCTTTACTTTTACTTGAAATGTAGATGTGGTGCGCAAACCTTTAAAAGTCATAGAACGTACATCTACGTATTTGTTTGATTTTTAAGTTCTATTTACTTTACTCTGTGATTTAATGTTACAGGTGCTATGGGGGAGTATGGGGGCACTGCAGTCATTCGGGATAAAGGGGCAGGCACTCACCCTTAGATGCACGTGCCCGGCTCTGTACAACCATGCACAGTGCAAAATTACACAGTCAGTAGGGGGTAGTCAAATCCACATAAATACGCACATTTCTACACTCAGCTGTCTTTGCATACAGACCCCCACTGCATAGCAGGAGCCACTGTACAGATGCAGATGTGGGAGGGCGACAAGTTCCAGATGTCTTGGCGCGGGAGGCGTCCCAGTCATCCAGCCTGGAGGACCACGAGCGGGAGGGTGCATCAGCGCCAGATCTGAGCCCGGTACATGTCAAGTCATCATTATGGGAGAAGGAGGAAGAGGAAGAGCAGGCAAGCGATGCTGAAGACGAGATGTTTAAGATAGTCAGGCTGCCCTTTGATGGGCAGTTTGTGGCGGCATGGCGGGAAATGGCAGAGCAGTCTGTGTGGTCCGTCGGGTCCCTACCGTCGCTGGTTCCCTCGCCACAATGGCTGGCGCGCCACGGGCTTGCGTCCGGTGAGAATGGGTCCGCCGATGCTGAAGCTTGTGCGGTTTGCTCGAAGCCGGGTGAAGATGTATCCCTGGTGGTCGCTGTGACGGAAGAGCGCCAGCGGTTCTCGACGTCGTCGTCAGACTCGCTGCCTCCTTACGTTCCCGCCGCGAGCTGGCTGTCCGAGTTCAGACACGTGCACTGCTGCGGCTGGCCGATTCCTGGCGCCCGGGAATGCTGCATCGTGTCTTGTTTCCATCTGATTTTTTAAGTAAATCAGTCTGGCCCAGGACAATGTCACCTTTTCTATATAGTGGGGTACCTGACGTGTACTGAGAAGTTGATATTTGCCTGGCACAGAGAGGTTTATGGTATAAAAATGGGCACGGAAACCTGGCCTCTCATTCACACCTCTGTGCGCTATAGTATGACATGCCTTGTTTCCATCTGATTTTTAAAGCATTAAATCAGTCTGGGCCAGGACAATGTCACCTTTTCTATATAGTGGGATACCTGACGTGTACTGAGAAGTTGTTTGCCTGGCACAGAGAGGTTTAAGGTATTAAAATGGTCCCCCTACAGGCACAATCGCGTCATTGCATTGGGCTGAGAAGCATTTAAGGCGGACCGGAAAATCCGAATTAAGAGCTGCGAATAAGTAGCCAACTTCAGCCTCGCTTTTCAGTTCGAGACAAATCTGCACACGTATTTACGTGTATGTCCCAGTTTTATTACCTTGAAAATAGTCTGTAGACTTTGCAAACTACCCCAACGCTTTTGTTGTAACGAATTTCAGCTTTATAATGGAATGATACAGGCTTGTTGTAAGATTTCTTGCGTGAACGTGAGAATCTGAAAGCGTGTCACCCCAGATGCGTGAGACACGGCAACCCTGATTTCACTTGCGCCCGAGACAAAGTGAAACTTCATCTGTGTTATAGGATATATATCTCATCTTGTATTTTACTCTTAACATGTGCACATTTATTTGGCATCGCCTGTAACGGTCGGTAGGGGGGTGCGGTGCGCCGGACCTCTTATGGTGACACATGAATGTAACTTAAATTTATCGTCATTTCGGCTATTAATGATATGAATGTGCAAAACAGAATTGTGAAAATAGGAGGGCAAAGTTCCATTCGACAGGATGGTTTAAAGTTTACTCGGGGAAGCATATTTAGACGGACCGGAAATGGGTTTCTCTCCGATTAACTAATCGCATAATAAAACATGTTTTGACAGATTTTACATGTTAGATCATCTCTGAAAAGAATGTTTTTGATGGAAAAATTCCAAAAGTAACATCAACGATTAGCGATGTCTCATGTCTGTATTAACGTATGTATACAGCTGTATTTATTGGTTTGTTTTCTAATGATATTGTCAGCAGAGATCTCTGCCGCAAAGGTACAGTATCATCGGAATATATTTTATGCGTGTTACTAACTGATATAGTCATTTGACATTACAAACAGATTTCCTTATAGTTTACATGGTTATGGTTTTTGTCAGAAGCTATTCGTACGAAAGCAGTGTCCGTGCCTTAGGTAAATAATAAAAGTTACATTTAAAGAAAATAGTTCAGATGCCCAGTCTTAAGACCATAATATAGCAAATGATCAGCCATATGCCTTTAATATTTTTTTCTTAAACAGTCTCTTTTCTGTGCCTGCTGAATTCCTTTTAAAAAAATGTAATATTGCCCTTTGATGGGTTGACGCCCCATCCTGGGTTGTTCCCCTACCTTGCGCCCGTAGCCTCCGGGATAGACTCCGGACCCCCGCAACCCTGAATAGGATAAGTGGTTACAGAAAATGGATGGATGGATGGATACAACATTTAGAGAATTTTATCCATACTGCATAATTTTGCAAGACGAGTGTACTATTTTGATTTGTGGAAAATGTTATGATGTCCTGTGATTTGTGGCCACTATACTATGCTTATGCTGTCACCTTGGAAATGGTAATGATGACGTTTTGATGTCCAGTTAGCCTACTTAGAACCGTTTTTGCTAAGCATGTAATCCCTTCATTTCTTATTAGAATGCTGAAGATATACGATGTAAATGTATTTGCCCCCCATACAAGGATGTGAATGGCAAGATCTATAACCAGAATGTCTCACTCAAGGACTGGTAGGAACAGTATCTCCATATAATTTGGCATGACAGACCGTCTGCAGAAGGCATCATTTTGACATTTTGTCTTTATTTTGTTTGTGTGTAAATGTCTTAACAGTCTATATTGTGCATTTCCTCAGCAATTGCTTACATGTAGTGAAACCCATGCCTGTGGAAGGAAAAGATGTGGAGGCTTACTGTCTGCACTGCGAATGCAGATACGAGGAGCGGAGTTCTGGGACTATAAAAGTTAGTCCATTCATCTACCCGTCTATCTGTCCACCCACCCATCCTTTCATAGCTGCTTTTTCAGTACAGTGTTACAGTGTCTGCCATCTCCTAGGAAAAACAGGACAAATGGCAGGGTCACCCTGGATTAGACACAAAGCCTTCACAGGACACTCACTCACACACTTTGCCCAGTTTAAAGATACAGATTTACAGGGCGGCTGTGCAATACATTAATGGAGCACCCACACCCTGTACTGTAGGTAACCATCATCGTTTACCTGTCCCTCCTGGGCCTGCTGCTGCTCTATATGGTCTACCTGACCCTACTGGAGCCCACACTGAAGAGACGGCTGTTTGGACACTCGCAGCTCATCCAGAGTGATGATGATGATGTTGGGGTGTGTATCGCTTTATCTAGAGCATGTTTGTGGATTTTAATAGGCCGTTTGAAGGGGTAGATAGTTTTGCCATTGTTTGATCATATTGCACAGAAGATGTTTTATGTCTGTTTCAGGACCGGCAGCCCTTCGGCAACACGCGTGACGTGCCGTCCCACTCCAACGTGCTGAACAAGGTGGAGCACGCACAGCAGCGCTGGTGGAGGCAGGTGCAGGAGCAGAGGAAGTCTGTCTTTGACCGGCACGTGGTGCTTAGCTAAGCCGAACGTGTCGTATGATGCGAAGCATGAAACAAATCACTGCGACTGGGTCCCTATCACACCCTCATGCCTGTTTTTAAGGCTTCACGGTGGTGAGGATGAGCAACATCTTTGCCTCAGTGTAATATTGTTTGCATTTCTAGTTTTTTGCCTGACATTCCAGTGTTGTGAGCTCAGGTTTGATCAGAAGGTGGCCCCGTTTCCCCACAAATGGTATTGCCAAAGGTAGGAGGTGCTTTGACCATTTGTGTACTTCCATGACTAAGGGTGATGCTTTATCATGTATCCTGCCATTGATTCAAAAGTATTGAGACTTTGCAGGAGTAAAGCTTTTCAGTTGCATCAGCATTGTTTACATTACCTGTACCTTTTCAGAAAAGCATGTACAGGATTCTTATTGCGTATAAAAAAATATGAGGACATTGATAATCAGTTTTAGCCAAATGTTTTCCAAATCCCTTTGTGAATTCTGATGATTTCTGTATTTCTCATATTTCCTTTTATCGATATAGTAATATTAGAAAATACGTTTATGAAAATATAGACTAACAGTGTGATCCACAAAGTGTTGCTTGTGGGAATACAATTGATTAAACAAACTGCTTAACCATGTACAGTTTGATTAACTTGGTGGTATTGACTACTTTCCACTTAACTGGAATCCAGAACAATGAATACATGAAAATTGATACTGCTGCTTACTGAAAAACATAGAAAATGCTTACTTTTAAAAGCAGTGAAACACACCATATCTTTATTTCATTACATAGTAATGTATATAGAGCTTTTATATGAATTTAATACACTCAAAGACATATTATCAAAATATAAAAATCCAATGTTCACTTGCATGTTTATGGCTTAAAAAATGGCACAAAAAAAAGAATCATCTTTGGAATACTCAGAGAACACAAATAGATTCTTTGTTATGACAAAACATTCAAGCAGTGAACTAAAGATGAAATGCAAGATGGACACTCTCTCCTGCTTTAATTTGAACTAACTGGGTCTGTTGGGTTGCATCCACAGCGGCAGCAGTAATTTTGTAAGTACCAGGAGACACTAAAATGTGAAAATCCTCTGGTGTGCTCTTTTGCTCCTAGAAAATAGAATCATGTGGTTAAGCATAGGTGCACGTGTTACGACAGCATCGACACCGATAATGATATTAGAGGGCTCATTCCTTACGTTTTTAACGTAGATAGTCCGGGGTGGCGCCGGAAGATTGCGCGAATGATACCTACAGACGTGGTTCACTTCATACTCACTGGGGTCATGAGCAGGCACAGACGAGTAGAATTTCTGCCAAATAAAAAAATTAATAAATGCATATTCGAATAAAATTGCGAGAAATAGTATTTACGACAGTTACATGTTACCTTGCATTGATAGGTTGTGTTTGCCATAAACTGCATGACAGTATCAAACGTGTTGTTCAGCTGGCTACATGCGTGTTCAGCTACCTGTTTGGGGGGGGGGGGGTGCACATGTTTATTATTCATTAGATTATTCACTAAATACTAACGTAAGTCTGGCCAGAGAAACGCAAAACTGAGGATATTAAAACACCCGAAACACAAGATGTCCCAAATTAAACAAACGTTAGAAAAGTGTTTTGCTTTTACCGCCCGATTCCCCGACTGGGTCCGATCCCAGCCGTCGCTCCTCCGCTTATCTTCCGGCTGCCGTACGCGGCCAGAGCAGCTCACACTTCTCCAGTCTACACTGCGTTTCTGTGCTCTCTCCAGCACCTGCAGCCCAAGTCGCGATGAGCGAGCTAGAGACGATTCAGTCCATGCCGGTGCCGCCATCAAGACGATGCAAAACCGCACAAACTTCCGCTGATTCTGTGCTATCCTACATATAAAGCAGAAGACGCCCCTGATGGCATAATTGCCTTCTTCTGTTGCGGCAAATTACCTATCTTCAATAACGCTCTAGTGAATAACAGGTTTCCATAACTGATCGAACGATCCGGTAGAGATACCCGAACTTTAGTAAAGGTGTGGTTTAAGGTCCATGCTTCCGCTTTTTTCCAAACTCAATTTACTATGGATTTATTAACTGGGAATAAAACAGTACTTATAATGGAGGTGTTCCCTTGTAATAAAGGTGACTCCAAGCATGTTAGCACTGTCATTTGAGTGATTGGGCATGTTTTAGAAAAGCTGACAATTTAAATCATGTGGCGCCGCAATGGTCGCAGGGAAATGGTGTTTAAGTAAGAAACTAAGCTAACATTAAAAATAAAATTTCCATAACGTTAGTAGTTTATATCGCCGTTTCTCTTTGTTTTTAGTTATGCTGAATCACTGAAATAGTCCAAAATATCTTAGGTAATTCATGTGCAGCCTGAAAAAAAAGTTGATCCAGATCGCCAAAAGCTTGTTGCGCCGTCTGTTGGTTGCTTGTCCGTGCAGCAAAAAAAAAAAAAAAAACAATATGCTGGAGCGCAGAGTTAAGCATAACATCAGAGCTTACTAAAATTGCTTAAACATGACAAACTGACTTAGCTTATGTCGTTATATATAAACATGTCCGGATTTTGACTGCATTTTGCTTAAACGTTTAGAATCCATTTTCAACAAAACATGTTCACAAAACGTGATTGACGTTGAACGAGCTGCCGTGTTGACGTTCAGTTGTGAATATCTTTATTTGCCATATATATATATGTATTTTGAACAGGATCACAGAACTATAAGAATTTCTTAATTAGGCTGTGTATATGTTACTAGTCATGGAGAGATCGTCATCGTTTCCTGTCCTTTCCCCCGCTCCTGTTTTCAAGCAGCAATCCAAAGAATAATGTTACCGGTTATGATCAGGCACATCTCATATAGGAGCAAGCAAGCAGCATCTAGCCATGGATTTCTGAAAAACAAAGAAAGCAAATAATACAAAAAGAGGTAGGAAGCTAAAATATATTTCCAGATAACCGTGCTAACTTTAAATGCCAGCGATAATGAATATTCAACTGATTTATCTTGTACTTACAAACGTCTGTGTGGGGAAAAAAACTATTGGATAAATATAAATTAATAATTTTAATGTTTTGTGATTTAAACGCGATGGAAAGTTCTGTAGAATTTAGCCGTTTTGCACGGCTGAGGACTTCAAGTAAGTTTAACTAAGTAACCAGACCATTCTCAATTCCCAACAAACTCATTTGTTTTTCTCCTGTATCTTTTTCATTATTATTGTTATTATTATGATGATGATTATTATTATTATTATATTTTTAATTATGATTACTATTATTATCATTATTCCATTACTGTTGCATTATTGTTTAAAGTGAAATTATACATTTTTCTAACTCTATTTGTAAACGTTATAACCTGTTGGTACATGTAACTGACTAATGAAACTAAATCCAAAATACCGGGTCTATTCTTTGACACGAAGCCGCGTTTTTTCCTTATTACGGTCCAATAACTTAATGAGATGTAGCGCACAGTATTACCGATGAAAGAGGGCGCTGTTTAACTTGATATGAGTTCAGTCTGCCTCCTTCAGAAACAGTAAGCAGAAGTAGAACCATATAATGTACAACTGACACATTTAGGGGTACACCTAAACGAAATGAGCTATGGTGATGATGGAGTCGCGCACATACAATACTAGTAAGTTGTCCTTTGACTAAATATTTGCCTTGGTTAGTAGTTTCAAACACTGGTCTTGTCTCATGTGTATTGTGGATTGCCATAATCTCTTCCTCCCAGTAAAAAGATTCATCTGACCTCACAATGCTCCAAAACACTGAGATAAGAACAAGCCTGCAACAAACTCAGACTGTAGGGGTGTATCTCCGCTTCTTCTCAAGGCCCCCTCCAGCTCGTCTCAATCCATCCATCCATCCATCCATTTTCCATACCCACTTGAACTATGCAGGGTCATGGGGTCCGGAGCCTATCCTGGAAACCACAAGCCCAAGGCAGGGAATAACTCATCCCAGGGCTCACACACCATTCACACCTGTGGACAATTTGGCAGCTCAACCTAATAGAACATAATATTCTGTATATATCAAAGTTTGATTGACTTTGTATGAAAGTCAGTTTCACTGCTGTGTCAAGGAAGAGCTATGCACTATGTCTGCAGATTCTGACTTACTGATTCAGTTTTCAGAAATACAATTTTGTGCCTGTTGATGTAAATATGTTATGCTTATAAAGAACACTGTTACTCTCCTCTTTCAGGGTTACTATAGTTTTAAAAAATCTTTAGTTTTTGTTTTTATTTAGTTTTTGTAATTTCAATTTTAGTTTTTTTTCAGTTAGCCTTAAGAGTGCATGAGTTTCTGATTTGTTTTTGTTTTCTGAAAATAACTAGTTTATCTTAGATTAAAGCCTAGATTAAGGCAGACAGCTGAAGAGAGAAGGACAAAGTGTTTGTCTGTCCAGTCATTGAAACATCTTCCAACTGCTTATCGTCAGCATCACAGCTCAAAATGTTTAATATAATATTAAATATTATAAAATAAGTTTAAAATATCAAATAGTATTATCTTCAAAGCCATCCATTGCTAGTGAATTTTAATGAAATTCCAAAATACAATTGTCATCGTCAGTATAAATCTTATATCAAAAACAGCTTAATACATCAATTTCAAAAGCACTGTCTGTATGTATGAATAGAACTTCCTACTGCCAGATGTTCAGGTGAAAATCAGTTGGTGAGAAACATTCAAACGGCAGTTTGTTAGGCTGTCTGTTGTGTGTTTTAATGTAGACAACAGGTGTAATAAAAGAATAAAATTCCAACAGTGGACCATCCAACAGTATGAAGTAACAGGTGTTCACTAAGAGACAGTTTGTTGGTATTTTTGATGATATTGGCATTCAAAACCAGTTGCTCAGAGCACAAAGTGTGTGCGTGTGTGTGGATTATGTTTATACAGTATTACATTGTGGGGACCAAATGTTCCCCACATTCTAATAAAAACCTGTTATTTTGACAGGTTAAGATCGTCATGTTGGGATTAGAGCTTTCCCTATAGAAATAAATGGAGGGTCCCCACAAAGATATAATTACAAACCTGTGTGTGCGTGTGTATGTGTGTATGCGTGTGTGTGTGTGTGTGTGTGTGTGTGTGTGTGTTTTTAAGTGGCTAGGAGAAAGATGTCAATCTTCAGTAGTCAGTTCACTTCCTGTCAATCTTGAGGAAAATCCTTTGCTCTAGAAAAGTGATGGCCCTGTTTCCAAACTAGATGAGAATAGTCCACGCACACAGAATTTATGCCCCACAAACGCTTGGCAGGCTGCCCCAGTTACTACATCTACAATCTGATGCCACTGGGGCCAGTGTGGATAGACGGCTGTCCTTGCCCTCCTGAACTCTTTTTCTGGATTGATTTCCCCATCAGATCATCTGTGCAATGTTAATTATAGCTAATGAGGTATGTCTGTTTTTGACATGCATACATATACACTCACCTAATGGATTATTAGGAACGGATTATTCAATTTCTCATTAATGCAATTATCTAATCAACCAATCACATGGCAGTTGCTTCAATGCATTTAGGGGTGTGGTCCTGGTCAAGACAATCTCCTGAACTCCAAACTGAATGTCAGAATGGGAAAGAAACGTGATTTAAGCAATTTTGAG